TTGCACAACATGGGTGCACTCACATACATGCAGGCAATACACTCATACACATAAAATAAAAATAATAAAATATTAAAAAAGAAAAAAAACCTATACTAGCAAAATAAAGTACAGAATACCAAGTAAATATAAGTTTTAAAATGTTCTTAGCAGCCTGTAGAAATGATTCAGTGAATGTAGAGAAGAAGAAAAACATTGAGCCTAGGGAAAAGTGAAAAAGGACTAGGGAAAGACAAGAATGGAGAAAGTAGCAGGTGGAGAGCAAACAAGATAAGCAGCGTGTAGACAAAGGGCAGGCAGGAAGAATGGAAGCTTTATCAAGTTAATAAGTCCTCAGACTGGGACTGGAGAGATGGCTCAGAGGTTAAGAGCACCGGCTTCTCTTGCAGACATCTCAGGTTCAGTCCCCAGTCAATATTGGATTCCGTGAGAAAAAATGTCATTGGAATTGGCTTTTTCATTTTAAATTTAATAATTGCTTAAACTATTTTAGAAGACATACTTGTTTGCTTTTCTTTTTTTTTTTTTTTCATTTTTCACGATTGGTTTGCATTGCTAACATAGAGAACAGTACAATAGCCTGATTTCCTGTCTTTCACAGCCCGAGTGATTGATGTGTCTAATGGGAAAGTCCATGTTGTGGAAGGCTGTTTGGAAGAAACAGGTGGCCTGGGAGTAGATATTGTCCTGGATGCTGGAGGTGGGCACCTATGAAATCAGTGTTCCCTGTGTGATTGTTTTTGTTTGAAAACAATTTAGTTTTAGTTTAGAAAAAGTTTAAACGGGGAATGATTATTACTGCATTTATTCAATTGAACGTTTAGTTTGAGGGCTTCTTTTTAATTGAAAATTTGTCTATTTAAAGTTTCAATTTCAATAAAGTTTCAGTTACTCTATTCCCATCATAAACTCTGTCCCTTTGGAAAAGAGAGCATGTGTTTTAAGTGTTAGACACTGAAGCTTCAACAGGTGGCAAATCTCTGTAAGAAACCTGTAAGGGGCACCTACCCAGTTGGCCCAGAATGATACCTAATTGTTCGGATCCTCAGTCACTTCCACTGCCTGGCTGCCCTCTACAGGATGAGTTTTGCACCCTCTAGATAGAAAAAAAGGCATTCATTCCATTCTCTCTTCTCTAGAACTTTTAAAATTACACCAATGTCTCTAACAACCAATCCATACACTTGTAGGTGGTGCTATTACTCCTAAAAGGTGGTGTTATGAGCCCACAAAACAATTCTATTTATATTGTACTGTGAATGTAACTGACCAACATGTGTTCCTTTTCAACCAGTATTTGTAATTAAACCATACAAACCTTTCAGTGGAAATGATTATTATATTTTAGTGAGGTCATTTTTTCAATTTATGTTTCAATGATTATGTCAACATACAAATCAGTGTTTTGATGAGACAGCAATTCATTCTCTTGTATGAAGCGATCCTTATTAGGGTTAGCATGAGGCTAGTTATATAGTGCATTATCTTGCTTGCTTTCCAAATCAAAGTATACTTTGTGTTTATTTAATTTGAATTAGGTATAGAATACATCTTATGACCAGTTTCAATATAAAAAGTGTAGTTTAGGGTTATTTGAATACACACTTGCCTTTTACTAAGAAAAATATTTCTCACTATATAAAGAGACTTATATACAGAATAAATTGTCAGATTATAAAAGTTTTTTTTTCTCTTTTTAAAAAATTCACGTATAAGTGAGATTGTACAGTAAAGATGATGAGCCAGCTGTAAAATTACAGCTCCCACATAAACATGACATCATTGCACTTCTTGGTGTCGGAGGCCGTTGGGTGACAACAGAAGAAAACCTTCAGGTATTACTTATCAGCAATAATAAAGCATTACTATTATACCAGAAGATTGTGATGAGCAAAAAATGATACAGATTCTGAATTATACCCTGTGTTTAAAGAAATGTAGCTTCTTTTTAATGTTAAGTACTTATTGACCAAAATGTTTAAATACCACCCTGCCTGGGAATCCATTCAATTAGAGTGAATTATAGTTTTACTTAGTTATTTGTGCATAGTGATTTCTGGATTTTTAAATTGTATTTCCATTCCATATTGTACCTTTATGTGCTTATGCATGTGTAAATGCACATGCACATGTGTGCACATATATGTTAAGCCAGAGATCAATATTCTGTGTCTTCCTTCATCACTCTCCACCTTATAGTTTGAAAGAGGATCTCCCCTGCACCTGGAGCTTCCCAAGCCTAGGCTGACTGGCAGCAAGGCCTAAGGATCCTCCTGTCTCCACCTCCCTAATGCTGGGATTACAGATATGCACTACCACAGCTGGATTTTTTACATGGGTGCTAGGGTTCAAATTCAGGTCCTCATAATTTAGTTACTCAGTGATATTACTATATATGCATATAGATGAATTACTTCCCAAACTTACACATTTTTCTCTTTTCTTTTTTTAAAGATTTTTTTTGAAGATTTATTTTTTCATGTGTATGAGTGTTTTGCATGCATGTGTTTAAGTGCACCACATGTGTGCCTGGTGTTGTCAGAGCCAGAAGAGAGCATTGGATTCCCTGGAACTGGAGTTAAAGACAGTTGCAAGCTGCCATGTGGGTGCTGGGAACTAAGCAAGAGCAGCAAGTGCTTGTAACCACTGAGCCATCTCTCCAGCCTTCCATACTTACATTTTTCAACAGGATTTTAATTGACTATATCTTGGCTGATACACAAATGCTGTAATTCTCATATACCAGTCTTGACTTTCGAACTTACAAAGGTGACTGGCAAGTAAAGGCCAGACCACATACGGAAGCCCTCAGACACACACCTCTACCATTTCATCATGCAGACTCCAAATCCGTCTTCATCTGCCCTGTCTTTTTACCCTAGATATGACATCATGGGTCATAACATAGGAAAGAAAACATTATAGTTACAAGTTGTTATTAAAGTTCAGAGCTGAGTTTTTGTGGTTCCTACAGTATTAAATTTGCATATAAAGTTTTTCTGGTTCAAGTATCAACTCTTAATGTAATAATTGTTTTGTCTTTGTTTGTTCTATCAAAGTTGGATCCTCCTGATAGCCATTGCCTTTTTCTCAAGGGAGCAACGGTGGCTTTTCTCAATGATGAAGTTTGGAATTTGGCAAATGCACAACAAGGAAAATATCTTTATATCCTTTTTTCTACTGACTTGAATTACTGGCTTGGCATTTGCCTTGTACTGTACTCATAAATTCTTTGAATGTGATCATAAGAAATGATAATTAGCTGTGACCTTTTCTTATGCATGTTTAACAGTGTATCAAATGCCTTATAGATACTCATTTAAAAATTAAAATAATGCTATGAAATATAAGTAATGTTACCCCCATTTAACAAAAGAAACAAACTAAAATAGAGCTTACTGTGTGCCCAAGGAAACAGGCAGCAAGGAACAGAATCAGAATCACACCTGGGGGCGGGGTCTCCCTCCTTTTGAACAGGAGATAAATTATGAGATAAGTAGAAGACTTTCTTTTGTCTTAACCTGGTATAACCTGTCACCTTAAGATGGTGCCATTGCACAAAATACTCCAAAACAGTTATGTAAAGAGTTGAATTTTCAGCCCAGTGTGGTTGCACACGCCTTTAGTCCCAGCACTCAGGAGGCAGAGGCAGGTGGATCTCTGTGAGTTCAAGACCAGCCTGGTCTACATAGTGAGTTCCAGACAATGATGATGATGATGATGAGTAGAATTTTACAATTATCAGTACTAGGAAATTTTCATCAAATAAGAACATACCTGATTATTTATCTATTTATTTTTGAGATAGGAACTCTATATGTAGTCCAGGCTGGCCTCAAACTCATGATCCTCCTCCCTTAGCTTAATAAGTTCCCCATACCTCAAAAAAGATCCTTTTATTTCTTTTATTTATTTGTTTTGAGACAGGGTCTCATGTATCCCAGAGTAGCCTACTTGTTTTGCAGCTGAGGGTGGCCTTGAACTTCTGATCCTCCTGCCACCAAATCCCAAGTGCTGGGCTTATAGGTATGTACTACCACATCTAGTTCATGTGGTATTAGGGATAAACCCAGAGCCACATACATGTAATTCATGTACTCTAGCAAGTGAACTACATCTCCAGTACAATCTTCATTACTAAGATGACTATTTAAAGATGTTAATATACTAAATAGAAAAGGAGTTCTCAACCTAGGCCTGGTAGCTCATATCTGTAATCCAAGACTTGGGAGGGTATGGCAGGAGGATATGAATAAGTGAATTAATATTCTTTAGGTCCTTTTTTAATCTTTAAAATGGCTTATTATATATGGGGGCTTGGTTGGTTTGGTTTGGTTTTTTGTTTATTTGATATAGGGTTTCCCTGTAACCCCAGCTGGCCTGGAACTTGCTATGTAGACCAGGCTGGCCTTGAACTCACAGAGATCCGCCTGCCTCTGCCTCCTGAGTGCTGGGACTAAAGGCAAGTGCCACCACGCCCAACTGGTTTGGTTTTTTGCAACAGTTTTGTCCCATAGCACCAGCTGCCCTGGAACTCACTCTGTAGACCAGGCTGGACTCAATCTCACAGAGATCTACCGGCCTTTGACTCCCAAGTACTAGAATTAAAGGTGTGTACCACCACACCTGGCCTATGATCATATTTTAAATTTTAATATTGTTGTACCTTGAACTTGCTACAAATCACAGGCTGGAGTCAAACTATATGCAGTCCTCCTATCTTAGCCTTACAAGTGCTGGGATTAGGAGCATGTGCTAAAACTTCCAGCAGTGTTACTTTAAATTTTCTAAAGTCAGACTTCAGTTCTTGCAAAAACAGTCCTCAGTCAGTACATAAACTCAGCACTCTTTGTGATTTAACATGTCCTATGCATTTCTATGCCATCAAGAATTGCAGTCCTAGCAATTGTATGAGTTCATGTTGTCAACTAAATTACCAACATAGTTTTTTGTTGTTTTTTCTTTTTTTTAATAAATTTTTTAAAGATTTTTAAATTATGTGTATGTGTGTGTCTGTGTATAGGTATAGGCATGTGGGGGGGGGGTGTTCAAGGAGGCTAGAGGCAACTGAAATTGTAGTTATAGGTAGTTGTGAGCCTCCTGATATGGGTGCTGGGAACTGAACCTGGGCTCTCTGCAAGGGCAGAACAAGCTCCCAACTTCTGAGTCATCTTTCTAGTCCCTTTTGTTCTTCTCTTTCTGTTGCATGGTGGCACTTTTCAATCAATACTTCAGGAAATCTCAAAGCTATCCAAAGATGGTGAGCATACCATACCCCATATATGTGAGCACCGCAGCCAGCATGGGCATTTCCTCAAAGGCTTCATTCATTAAACTGTCTTTTATATAGTCCTCCATTTTCTGTAACATGATGGATCCTTGCTGACAAAGCTCTGCTGTCTTTACAAGAGTCACCATCATTGCACCAAACTAAGTCTGCAGCCTCTCGTGTTCTCATCACTTGCTTCCTCCTCCTAGCTCCTCAACTCCTTGCTCCAAGCACATCAACTTCCTGCCATAGTCTTTCCAAAGAAACCCTCTGTGGACAATCTCAATGGGCTTGGAGAACTGCTCTTTGTGGTGTTTTCTTTTCAAACAGCCTCTTGCTATGTAACCCAGACCGGCCTTAAATTCATAATCTTCCTCCCTCAGCCTCCTGAGTGGTGGAATTACAGGTATGTACCCAGCTCAACAAAGATTTTTTTTCTTCTTAATATGGATATAATTTTGATTGTTGGTGACTAGTGTATTACTACTTTCTTGTTGCTGTGATAAAATACCATGATGAATAACAGCTTACAGAAGAGTTTATTTTGCTTATGGTTCCATAAAGGGGTGTCTGTGTTGGCCGGGAAGGATTGGCATGGTGGCAGGGGCAGGAAGACGATAGCCAATCACACAAAGAGAGTCCATCCCCAGTGGCGAACTTCCTATAGCAAGACTGCAACTCCTCAAGGTTCCATAACCTCCCCAAACAGTGCCTGGAACCAACTGTTTAAATACACGAGCCTGTGGGGAACATTTTTCATTAAAACTACCACATATAGATGCACATTTATTAGCTTTTGTTTTTTCAAGTTATTTTGAGACAATGCAAACAAATTTTGATTCTGCTGTCAACCACGTTGATAAAATGTTTATTTACTTATCTTTTTTTTACTCTTTATATAAGAGATATCAGTGCTAAATACCATACATAGTGCATAAATGAAAACCATGTTACTTTGTTAACCATCCATTATTAGGATAACAGTAGTCATCACTTGTCTTGAGAAAGTTCCCATTCCTGTTAACACCAGCTTTCTCAAATCAGTCCTTTGTTTTAGAAGTAAATTTGAAGTTTAGTTTCTGTAACACCACTTTATTGAACTGTCTTCTCTATTATGTTGCCACCTTAACAATCCTTCCAGTTACGTATCTTAAAAGATGTGATGGAGAAGTTATCTGCTGGTGTTTTTAGGTATGCTAAAGAATCTCAATCATTGTTATTAGTTTTCTATCCTCAAGGAAATAAGGTGGACATTTCTGTTTATATTTCAGCCTTTATGATACACTTTTTGCCTCCATATTTATTTTTTATTTATTTGGGTGTTTTTTTTTTTTTTTTGAGACAGGGTCTCCCTGTAGCCTCAGCTGGCCTAAAATTCGCTGTGTAACCGAGCTGACCTCGAACCCACAGAGATCTGCCTGCCTCTGCCTCCCCTGTGCTGTAATTAAAGGTGAGCACCACCACACCCAGCTGCCTCCCTATTTTCTTTAGTTTAGATAAATAACTGCTCCTTTTGTATTTCTCAGCATATATCTATCTGGTGAGTATAGACTCACACCAGTGAGTATCCTCACAGATAAAGTAGCTTGTGACTTTTCCGTCCCTCTCTTCTATTCTGTGTTGCAGTCTTATCACCCCTGCCAAAGAAAGAACTTATAGCATGACAAAGGAAAAAGTACCACATGGTTTTTTAAGCTGGATTTTTATATCATTTATAAAGTAGGGGTGGATAAAATAGTACTTTTTTCCATTCAAAACACTTTTAGCCCAGTATGGCAGATAATCTGAACACTATGGACTGAGGCAGGAGGATCATGAGTTCCAGGCCAGCCATATATAGCAATCCTGTTTAAAAAATAAAAATAAAAATCCCATCACTTCTTTTAACCATGGAAATATTAATGGATACATTTATACACTTATATGGATTATTTAAAGTAATACAACGAAACTGTAACAAACTGCATGTTCTACATACATCCTGTATGCCCTACTCACTAATCTGTAACTGCGCCTGACATTTTCAATAATTTTTTCTTCTCAGACCTCAATTGGATGAACCCATTCCACTGTACGAGGCAAAAGTTTCCATGGAAGTTGTTCAGAAAAACCAAGAAAGAAAAAAGCAAGTTGTTCAATTTTAATTTTATTTCCCAGACCTCAGTTGGATTCACCTATACCTATATATGAAGCCAGTTTTCTTTAGAAATTGTTGAGAAAAATCAAGGAAGATAAAATCAAGTTGTTCCATTTTTAAGCATGTTTTCCTACCATAGTAAGATGTTTGGTTGTTTGACATATTTGAAAACACTTGCAAAATTACTGCACAGACCATCCAGATAATTTTTTAACATCTGAGGGGATATTCCAAAATTCTTTTTTAGTTATTGTATCTGTACATTTTTCCTCTGCTACAAAATTCTTTCCATAAAGAAAACTGTTTTCTGCAAAAGCCACTCTATTCTGTCTATACATCTGCCACAAGCTTTTGCTGTTTTGTCAAAATAATATTATCTTCTTCATTCTCAACATCTTCCTTAACAAGCCTCTGCTGCCATTATTTAAGGGTTTGAGTATACTTTCCGATCTCCAAGTACCTAACGCACTGGCGTCTAAGTTTTGAATATCCATTCCCTCGGCTCCAGGATCACACAGTAAGTGGTCCTCGGGCAGCTGGCAGCTTGGGCAAGGAGGGCTGGGGCGGCTCCACGGCTCCGAGCGGGAGTGAGGAGGCCGGACCCCTCCGCCTTCCCTGCGGACGTCGCCCCTCTGGAGAGCAGAGCAGCACCCTGCAGCCTCGCTCGGGTGCTGTCGGCTTCCGTCCTGGCTGCGAAGCCGACCAGTAGTGTCCGCCTGCAGACTAGTACTGTTTGGTGCCCGCGCGCATGTCTGCAGGTGGCTTGGCGGCTGGAAAGGGGTCACTCCGGGCGGGCCAGAAGGGGGCGTGCGCGGGGCTAGGCGGCCCAGCACGCATGCTCCGAGGGGCGGGGCCTCGGCGGCCTACAGCCGGCGTGTGGCGCGGCGCAGGGGCGTGGCGGGCCGGGACGCGCGGGAAGTGGTAGCGGCCTACGGGCCTGGTACCTGGGGCACTCGCCTGTCCTCCCGCCATGGCCCTGTCGGTGCCGGGCTACTCGCCCAACTTCAAGAAACCGCCGGAGGTCGTGCGGCTCCGACGGAAGAGGCCCCGGGACCGCGCCGCCGTGTCGGAGCCCGCGCTCCGCCGCGCCGCGCTGGCGGCTGGACTGCCCCTTCGCCCCTTCCCGACCGCGGGCGGAGGAGGCGGCGCCCCCACGGCAGCCCGCAGGAACCCCTTCGCCCGCCTGGACAACCGGCCGCGCGTGGCCGCCGATCCCCGCGAGGAGCCAGCCGTCGGCCAGCAGGAAGCTGCGGGCCCGGTGAGTGTCTCAGTGCCTGGGAGCCGAGGCTTTGCGGCCCCGCTGCACCCGGCTGCGCAACCAGTGTGGGAATGGGCGGGAAGGGCTGCAGGAGGCTGGGCCCGAGCCTGGAACCCGCCCGCGTCTCAGCTCTGAGCTTCTGCGGAGGGACTTGCAGGCAGCCTGGGTGGAGCACCAGGACCTGCGCTCCCTCCGTGCTGCAGGAGCTCCTCCCAGACACTCGGTTCTGCGGAGTTGAGGACTGTTGAGAATAAATGGGGTCAGAATTTACGAAAGTTTGTCTTAGCCTGAAGCTGTTGGGTCTTTTGGTTTAAGATTTCTGTGTCAGTTACCAAGGCGTCAAAGGCCGCCTCTTTCAAACCCTTTTAATATGAAAGCTCAGGCACAAATCTGAAGTGAAGTCAGCGTTGGATACTGTATAGATTTGGGCCGCGCTCCTTCACTGAGAAACTTGTGTGCCAGGTGAGACCTTACATATTTAAAGCAAGTGACCACTTAAGTTTTAAAAGGACATCTTTTTCAACCTCAGCTTTTAGATTCTAATCAAGAAAATAATTTGATGTGGGAGGAGGCATTGCACGAAAGAACAACTGCCACCGAACTACCTCAGGTAATTTTTTCATATTAATTTGTAATTTAGTTGTGTGTACCACGGTTGGGCATGTAGAGGTCAGAGAACAACTTGCCCGCAGTCAGTTTCTCGTTCCATCATGAGTTCCATGGACAGAACTCAGGTTGTCAGGTTGTCAGGCTTGGCAGCCAGTGCCTTTACCCCCTGAGCCATCTCACTGGCTTATTCAAGGTAATTCTTTTAAAATACTACATTCTATGTTCTGATAAACAGAATAGTTCTCCGAAGTATTTTGCTCAGAAAGTTTCACAGAGAAGCTTGAGAGCTGGGGATGTACCTCAATTTGCAGAGTCTTGCCTGGGTTGGCTCTCCAGCATCACATAACTGGTGTGATGATGCACACCTATAACTACAGCACTGGAGAGGTCACAGCAGGATCATCAAAGTTCAAGATCATCCTGGGATACATAGTTAGCTGAGGCCAACATGGGATACTTGAAACCCTGCCTAAAAACAGTCACTACCAGGGCAGGAAAGAGGGCATCATCTGAGACAGTATTTGGCGTGATATGGTTATGGTGCCTACAGTGGTCACCACCACTAAGCAGGCACAGTGCATGTGGGTTCTCCTTTGACACCCCCCCCCATCAGTTTAGCACACTTTCAAGGTTAGTGACTTCTCTACCTAAGCTATGTCTTTAACTTACTCCTTCACTGAATCTTCACACCAAATTCCCCGAGTACTTCAGTAGGTTTTGCTGTTGTATTGTCCCTCCTCTACCCAGGACACACACAGTAGTTTCCATTTACAATGCTTATATTGTAATAGGCACGTTTGGTTTGGTTTTGTTTGGGGTTTCTTGGGGTTTTTTTTTAAGACAAGGTCTTATGTATACTAGGCTGGCCTCAAACTTGCTCTGAAGTATCAGAATTGTATGTGCGTGCTGTGCTGTCCAAAGCTGGGTTTCCGAGGTCCTGGGAGTAGAGCCCAGGGCTTTGTGCATGCTGTGCTATACTCTTCTACCCTGAGCCACATTCCCAGCCCCACACTGTTTGACAGATGCAGCTTGCCCTAATGGGACAGGCTAGAAGAGCACCCAAGATCTGCACTACCTTCACATGGTCTCCTCTTCATGTATTTTATTATGATGTTACCTAAAGGAATCTTTGTGGTGTGGGGAATATGGACTTGAGCAGCAGCAAAACAGGCAGAGGGTAATTTTTTTTAGTTCAGGAAATGTTTCTTAAATACAGCCTTCAAGGGTTCCACCTATGTTACTTAATCTGCAGCAGAAGTTTAGCCCTGCTTCCAATGATTCTGGGGCTTTTTTTGGGGGGGTGTCTTTTTTTGAGACAGGGTCTCCCTGTAGCCCCAGCAGCTGTCCTGGAACTCACTATGTAGACCAGGTTGGCCTTGAACTCACAGAGATTGCCTGCCTCTGCCTCCCGAGTGCTGGGATTAAAGGTGTGCACCACCATGCCCAGCATAAGATAATTACTTTTAAGGACCAGGAAGATTTCTTCTTTGTTAGGAGCATCTATACTTGGAGACAGACCTGAGAAAACTAAAAAGTGAAATATAACCTTCTAGCACTACCTCCAACAAACCTTTTGGTTGTTTTTTACTCTTTATTTTCAGTGGGTGGTAGGGTGTGGGAGTCAGGCTTAGTAGCAAGCACCGTGTTACTTGCTGAGTCATCACAGTGGCCCAAGACCTCTTTGGCTTAATTTATCTGCTTCCAGACCTTTTCAGTGTGTAGCATATTTTTTAATCTTACTAAACAGTTCATAATTTTTATATTTGGTGATCAAGAATTTATTAGCTAATCAAATCTTTATATTGCAGGATTTTTCTTGAAATTCTAATATTTGTGTTCTTTGTTTTCTAAAAGACTCAACACATACTCTCGGAATCAGATACTGCATCTTCAGGCAGTACTGAGTTACCTGTGGACTGGAGTATTAAAGCCCGACTCCTTTTCACTTCGTCTCAGCCCTTTACCTGGGCAGATCATTTGAAAGCACAGGAAGAAGCTCAAGGTCTTCTCCAGCATTGTAGGGCAACGGAAGTAAATTTGCCTCCGAGTATACAGGTAATTCTGAAATAAAGTAGACTGAGAGAAAAAGAACAAGAACATGGGCACAGGCAGGTGTACACACAGAGGCCAGAGGCAAGCGTCAGTATCCTCTGTCACTCTCCACTCTGTTCCTTTGAGAAAGGATCTCTGGGCTAGGCTGGCAGCCAGTAAGTCCCAGTGATCTTCCTCCATCAGTGCTGGGGTTATAGGCATGCTTAGGACCATGCCCAACTTAATGTGGGTGCTAGGTTTAAACCTGGGTCCTCTGTTTAAGGTCTGTTTTTGTTATTGTTGTTGTTTTGTCTTTTTGAGACAGGGTCTCCTGTAGCCCCAGCTGACCTGAACTCACTATGTACACCAGGCTGGCCTTGAACTCACAAAGATCCTCTTGCCTCTGCCTCCTCAGTCCTGGGATTAAAGGCGTGCACCACCACGCCCGGCCTTTAAGGTCTGTTTTAAGGTTACAAATTAAGTATAAACATCTCTTCTGGTTTTTTCTTCTGACATTTAAAGACTCAAAAATTTGACAGTTTGTTTCTCCCAAAGGGTACTTCTCACATTCATTATTATCAAATTAAGTAACTATTCATTACATATGAATCAGTGGTATAGGCAGACATTGTTTTCATGAAGCCATTCTTTTTTTTTTAAGGTTTTGAGAAAATGTAAAGAAAAGAAAAAGCAATTAAATATGATTACAATAGCAAATGGATTTTTACAAATTTTCTTACATGTAACGTGACATACTCTCATTCTTAATATGCATTGATTCTTACATGGGAAATGATTTGTTGTAAATTTAATGGAGTTAAGGAGCTCCAGAATGGTTTTTGCGAAGTACAGTTTCATTGCCTTGAAGCATCTCATCAACTCAAATTAGGTTATAAAAGTTTTCTTAACATTGGGATCATCTAAGTAGCCTAGTAGTCTAATTATAAATTCACTTCAATTATGACTTGATACATCTTTCTTAATAAATCAGGATGATTTGTAATTTGCACTTAACAGGGTTTACTACATTTGAAATTGTTTACCTGTTGGAGGGAACCTCTTCCTTGGTGGTGGTTCAGCACTCCTGTGGGGAAGGATCTTGAACATAAGTACTCCCTCCACGTACACACTTCCTGTCCATCATCTAAAGTCTAGTCATTGTTCTCAAGAAAGATAGAGATAGAAAAATGCTTCCATCTACATTTTTTTTTCTGATACATGGTTTAACAGACTGTTAGCTGTCCAGAAAGCCTATCATAAAGATATACTTCACTGTAACCTCTGTAACAGTTAGGAATGCTTCCCTATGAAAAGCATTAGTATCTAATGAAATTGTATCTTTCAATCACACACCCTTCCAACACTGGAATTCAGGACCCCAAACTCTGCAGTGAGCTACGCTGTGCCTTCCAGCAGACCCTTGTCTACTGGCTCCACCCTGCCTTCTCTTGGCTACCACTGTTTCCTCGGATTGGAGCAGAGAGGAAAATGGCTGGAAAGACAAGCCCTTGGTCAAACGATGAAACATTGCAGCACATTTTAATGAGTGACTGGTAAGATTAGTAAACATCCCAGAGGTGCGTGGTCTTTGTAGCAGTATTCTCTTTCTGTTTTGTGGTATATATAGACAGGAATAAGGGTAGAAGGATGTCTGTGTTTCTGGACTTTGTCAGAACCTGTTAATGACCAGGATTTAATCTGTTTGCTGGTTTGTTCACCTTCATCACTATCACGTGTAGTACATTTGCTAGATAACTATATAGATATGATAACTATAACTATATAACTGTAATATATATAACTAACTATAATAGTTATAATAGCATTTGCTAGATAACTATATAGATATAATAACTATAGAATTATTTGATGTTACTTCTTGTCAGTGGATGTTTTTTCATCAGAAGTTAGCAACCAGTTACCAATTTTACTTGAAAGAAAACTGTTTTTCATCCCAGTGGTCAGCACTACTTGTTGGAAGTAGAGACGTCATCAGCAAGGACCATTATCAATCGCAGTCCTTGAAAGGAGAGTTTTGACACAACTGCAAAAACTCAAATCAGTACCTGAAAAATTTGTTGTGTTTTAAACTACCTGTCAAACTGAATTAAACAGAATTAAATTTAAAATATTATGTAATACCTAAAGAAAATTCTTTTGCTTCATAGGTCTGTGAGCTTTACTTCTCTGTATAATCTGCTGAAGACAAAACTTTGCCCCTATTTCTACGTTTGTACTTATCAGTTCACTGTCCTGTTCCGAGCAGCAGGATTAGCTGGAAGTGATGTGGTCACTGCGCTCATATCTCCTACAACTAGAGGGTTAAGAGAAGCTATGAAAAATGAAGGTAATAAGGGCTGGGGAGGTAGCTCAGCAGTTAGAGCACTGCTCTTGCAGAGGACCCGGGTTCCTTTCCTAGCATCCATGGCAGCAAACAGCTGTCCATAACTCTAGTTCCAGTGAATCTGACACCCTCTTCTGATCTCTGCATGCATTCCACATGAGTGCACGTACATACATGCAGGCAAAGTACTCATACACATATAAAAAAAAAAATTTTTTTTTTTTTTTTTTCGGTCTTTTTGAGACAGGGTCTCCCTGTAGCCCCAGCTGGCCTTGAACTCACAGAGCTTTGCCTGCCTCTGCCTCCCAAGTGCTGGGACTAAAGGTATGTGCTACCACACCCAGCAATAAAATATTTTTTTAAAAAATGAAGGTAGGCACACGCCTTTGATCCCAGCAGAAGCAGAGGCAGTCGGATCTACGTGAGTTCAAGGCCAGCCTGGTCTACATAGTGAGTTCCAGGACAGCTGGGGCTACAGGGAGACCCTGTCTCAAAAAAAACCAAAAAAAAAAAAAAATGAAGGTAAAAGTTCAGGTTTAAACTGATGATACCACCCTTTATAAACACTTGCCTTAAGAGCTAAAGTTTGAATTGTCTTTTACAAATTGGTTATCAGTATTTCTTTTTAGGATTTTTATGTGTATGAGTATACTGCCTGGATGCATGTGAGTGCACCTGTGTTGTGCAGTGCCGTGGAGGTCAGGAGAGGGCTTCGGATTCCCCTGGAACTGGAGTTCAAGATTGGTTCATAGTCACCAAGTGGGTACTGGGAATTGAACCCCGGTCCTCTACAAGAGCAGACAGTGAGCTTAACCGCTGAGCCGTCTCTCCAGCCCCAGTTAGCAGTATTATTTTAAGAGATGTAGTTCTCGGGGCTGGAGAGTTGGCTCAGCAGTTAAGAACACTGATTGTTCTTGCAGAAGACCCAGGTTCGAATCCCAGCACCCACATGGCAGCTAACAACTGTCCTAACTCCAGTTCCAGGGGATCCAACGCCCTCTTCTGTCCTCCTTGGGCATTGCACAACACGGGTGCACTTACCTATATGCAGGCAATACACGCATACACATAGAATAAATAAAATTTTTTTTAAAAAAAAGATGTAGTTCTTGATTTCTTCAGGTTTGGGGTTTTTTTTAACCCTGCTATTAAGCTGTAGTTAATGATGTCCCCTTTTCTGATCTCTGAAGTACATAGTAGGCCCAAAAGTCATGATCTGGATGTACTCTACATTTTTAAAAAAATTTTTAATTTACATATTTTATATGCATATGTATCTGTAGGCATGTGGTGCACATGTGGAGGTTAGAGGGCAACTGGAAGGGGCCCTATCTTCCCTTCCACTGTGTGGGTTCCAAAGATAGAACTCAGGTTGTCATCAGACTTGGCAGCAGCAAACGCCTTTACCCACTGACTCATCTCACAAGCCCTAGATAATTCTTTAATAGTACAAATTATGTACACCCTTAATAACTTGAAAAACTGGGTCAGCCCCTCCGTCCTTGGATCAGGAAAAGGAGGAAAGGATGGAGGCCACTGCCTTTTAACAGATCAGATGTCAATACTTGTCTGTATACTCTGGTAGGATATTCCTGTTAAAGAAAACTGAATTAATGTTTTTCTTTTCTGATGTAGGTATTGAATTCTCTCTGCCTTTAATAGAAGAAAGTGGCCATAAGAAGAAAGTGCATGGAACAACCTTGGGACATGAGGAGTATGTAATGACATAACCTTTAGTTATTCTGTGATTTATGTACTCAGCTGTATTTGTAGAAGTCAGCTCTCTGAAATTGTACCTCTAACTATAGCAATCTCATAGGGAGCAAGCATTCAGTGATGAAGATGAAGAGGAAAGTTTTTCTTGGCTAGAAGAGATGGGTGTGCAAGATAAAATTAAAAAGCCAGACATAATCTCTATCAAGCTGTATCCTTTTCATTGCTATTAACAAGAACTTTCATTAAGTTAGTAATTTAACATTGATCGTTTTAATTACTATAATCATAAATTATGTTCAGATGTTAGTTACCAAAACTAATTCTCCATTGTGCATTAAATAAAGTATCAGTAAACTGCCAGCTGTTTAACTTTTTAATTGAGGGTATCTGTTGTTGATCGTGTATGAAGTTTTTGACTACAGAATAGTTTTTGTTGTTTCTTTTATATATATATATATATATATATATATTTTTTTTATTCATTATTTGTATTTATGTGTATGGGTGTATTCCCTGAATGTATGTAAGTGTACCTGTGTCATGCAATGCCCAAGGTCAGAAGAGGATGTCGAATCCCCTGGAACTGGAGTTAACAGGCAGTTATTATCCACCATGTGGATGCTGGGAATCGAACCTTGGTCCTCTACAAGAGCAGCCAGTGCTCTTAAAACACTGAACCATCTTTCCAGTCCCTGTTGTCAGTTTCTAACAAATTCAAGTGGTCAGCATTTTCATTGAGACTTAAGTGGGAGAGGTAGGCTCAATTCTAGTTCATTTAGGGAGCTGCAGGTATCGAGAATCAGGGTAACTTTCTCCTCCCCTGGTGTGGATTTTCTTTTACTATTTCCTTGATTGTCATCTTCAGACGTAAAGAGAAACATGAAGTACAGATGGATCACAGACCTGAGTCTGTTGTATTGGTGAAAGGAGTGAACACCTTCACATTGCTCAATTTCTTGATCAGCTGCAAGAGTTTAGTTGCTACCTCAGGTGCACAGGCAGGACTTCCACCAACCCTTTTATCCCCTGTAGCTTTCCGAGGTGCCACAATGCAGATGCTTAAGGTAACTAAGACTACACCAATCTACATAGTCTAGCTCTTAAAATAGTTTGGTATTGGACAGGGTCTCACTGTGTAGCCCCAGCTGGCCTAGAATTCCCTATTTTATTTGAAATGGTCTTGCTTTGTGGTCCTGTCTGTCCTGGAACTCACCTGCCTCAAAAAAAAGAGAAAAACATTTTATAAATTACAATGACTCCCTTTTACTTATTTGTATTACATAGTGGATTTTTGTTGTGAGATGGTACTTGTAGCCAAGACTGGCCTCAAATTTTTGGTCTTTTTGAGTCAGGGCCTCCTCATATCCCCACTTGGCCTGGAACTCGCTATATAGGGCAGGCTGGCCTCAAATTCAAGCAATCTGTCTACCTCTGCCTCCCAAGTGCCAAGATTAAAGGCATGCATCGCCATACCCAGTTTTTTTTTTAAGACAGTAGCCCTCACTTTGTAGTCCTAGGTAACCTAGAATTTGCTATATAGACCAGGCTGCCTTTGTACCAGACTGGCCTCTACCTCCTGAGTGCTTAGGCCTAAGGTGTATGCCACCATGCCTGGCAGGACCTTGAACTCTTAGGTGTTTTGCCTACATGTATATACATGCGCCCATGTTTTCCAGTGCCTGCAGAGGACAAAAGGCAGTATCATGATTCCCTGGAGCTAAGTTATAGACAGTTGTTAACCTACCATGTGGGTGCTGGGAACCAAACCCTGTCCTCTGCAAGAGCAGCCAGTGTTCTTAACCACTGTGCCATCTCTCCAGCCCCTAGGAACTACTTAGAACTACTTTTGATTGTAACTATTAGAAGAAACCCCAGATGCAAATTATTGAACACATTTTTAGCTAAGGGACAATTTTGAGATGGTGATCATAATTTTCTTTTTCTTTAAATTTCCTGAAGGCACGAAGTGTTAATGTAAAGACACAAGCTCTTTCTGGATACAGAGATCAATTTAGTTTGGAGATCACAGGTCCAATCATGCCTCACACTCTACATTCTGTGACCAGGCTACTCAAGTCTTCACAAAGAGGATCATTCTCTGCAGGACTATTTCCACATGAGCCAACTGCTGTATTCAATGCCTGCCTGCCACTGGATAAAGAACTGGATAAAGTAAGAGGTCTTTAAATAGACTTGGTTATAGCCAGCTGTTTCTAGCTGAAGTAAATGTTTATGTTGGGCCAAATTTGTGTCATGTTATAAAACCTAAAATTTATGAATTAGTAAGAATGTTGATTTGTATACTGTAAGATAAATTTTATGAATTCAGGCAATTACACCGAGTTAAAAGTTCCCAAACCTAAAAAAATTTTCATTGCCAAAGTTTGGTAATACTGTGCTTTTAATGGACTTGTATGCTTATCTCTACAGGAAGTTGCTCTTAAGGACCTTGCTAACTGTGGGTTGCACCCTAAGACTCTGGAGCAGCTTACTCAAATACCATTATTGGGAAAATCATCTTTACGGAATGTGGAAATGAGTGACTACATTTTTAATTGGAGATCCTGAACACCAAAGTAAGCGTAAAAGGAATCTTTGAGGAAAAAGACTTCCTAACAAGGAAATTCAAGATTCTTAGGTCTTTGGTTTTAAACCTCATTTTGGAAGAATATACTTTAAAATACTGAAATGTTTATAAACTTATTACATGCAATATAGCATTAAGATTTTAGATCAACATTTTGCTTTTATTTTCATACTATGATTTCAGATATGATGGCAAGCTGTTCCCTTAAGCCTTAGATATCCTGAACGAGAACTCTATCCCTACAACTTAATTGTAATCCGAGGAGAAAACTGAATTAAAGTCAGTGTTTCATTACAGATGAGAGGCTGAGGTGAAATGTAGCATTGAGACTTATGCATCAGAGCAGAAGTGCTTTAACAGTGTACCTAAGACTAGACTAGTATTTCCTACAGTTGCAAAGCTGACTGCTGTTGCTTCTACCTTAGCATTTTTGCTACTGATTTATAATTCCTCTATTCTGAAGTTGTACTTAAATTTGTTAATTCAAATGATAGGGTATTTTGTACTTTATACTCAATACAGTTCAGCCATCATGGCAAATTCAGCATGCTTACAGGTAATGTGTGTGCAAGTGTATGGGTGTGTAAAACTTGGCATTTTTAAATAAACGTGCATAGAAATCAAAAGCATTGGGTAAAGCAGTAATAGTACATAGTTAAGGTGTATGTGTTCTGTAGAATTGGGGGGGGGGGGGCAGGGGAAAAACACCACATTTATTCCAGATAAGTTTGTATTTGGGCCTAGCTTTTGAAAATAAAGTTTAGAGACATAGCATATGAATACCACTCTAATACATATGAAATATTCTATAAGACCCTAAAAAATTAACATAAACTTAAACTTTCTCATAGTCAACAAAATAGTGGCTGGTTTGCCAATTTTATTAGATAAGTTGGTTACAGCATTTTAATTATTTACGTCTATCTAGGTGTAGCTGAAATTCAAAATGCACATCAAAGTAAAACTATATCACAACTCAAGCCATACTAAATATGTACTTGGCCTCTGCAGTAGAGTTCTAATTGGACTTCCGTTTTGACTCCCTTCTTATGACCCAAGTGGCTTAATGGGAATGCAGGTCTTAGTGCCAATCATAACACAATATACCACTTTCTTTTCATAACTTATACAAAAATTTAAGGGGAGGTGGTGGCATTAGCCCTGTGGAACAGGAACAGATCTTGCTTCAACCTCAATTAACACTGGCCCAGTATCTGTCCAGCAGAACCCATTGTGAAATAGTACAAGGTGCACAGCCCTTCACTGATTACAGGCAAGTGTTACAGCAGCCTAGCCATAAGGAAGGAGAGTTACATCATAGTACAAAATACAGTATAAAAGCGTTATTTAACATTCCACACTGAAGATTACTGATGCCGTCAAACAATTGTTTTGATGTTAGCCACTTAAATACATCACTAAGGTAAACAATACAAACATACCAAAACCCTGTATGGTTAAATACAATTTCCATGGTACAAAAATCAAAGCCTGGAGATGTTTGTACAGATTGCTTTTTACAGTGTCGTAAATTGCGAAATATTTACAACATTAAGGAGGAAATACATTGTGATGCAGAGTAAAATTATCTGAAATGATTAATATAAAACCTCAATCTATCTACGTGAGGCACTCCTGAAGCAAGTGGCATTAGCCATGAGGTCCTTTGGTACAAGGCCCATTGCTTGAAGAACCACAGTAGCTGCTGTGGCTTTAGCATGCTTCTTATTAGGGCTGGCAAAGCTGGGCTGGTAAGCGCTTCCATTTATCAATACCTATTCAAGAAAAACATACAATTGGGCTGGTAAGGGCTTCCATTTCTCAATACCTATTCAAGAAAAACATACAATAAGAACAGCATCAAACTTTAATATCTATTAGCTTTGTACTTTTTCACTAAATGCTAAATAATTTACAAATACATAATCCCCAACTATGTAAGTTAAATTAATGTCAGCCCAGAAGCAGCAAATGATTTAGAAAGGGGACTGCAAAATAAAAGCAGGTCTCCAAATTTAAAAAAAAATAATAAACCCTGACAAATGTGCTAAATTAATTCCACCCCCAGTCCATTAGAAAATATCAAACTTCACCAGATTTTGTCAACACCTTCCCCTCTCATTTTTTAAGTGTATTCAAAGTTTAAAAACCCAATCTACCCAAACATATAAACATCTATAACCCACCCCTGGAATATTAATACTGTGGTTATAATTATGCTCATCCCTTAACCCTCTAACATTAAATCAAATTAATAAATGTGTAATTAATACAGAAGTTCATATTTACCCTAAAAAGAAAATGTTTGCGATGATCAGGGCCACTATCATGGACCAAGAGAAATTCAGGTGGTTGCCACCTTCTCTTATTACAGATTTCCATCAGGGCAGACACAGGATGTTTGCCTGTAAGGAAAAAAAAAAGAGTTATTAAATACCTGTACCAACTTTGCATTTAATTATAAATTCAAGGTACAGGTAAGACAAAAGGAAATTGAATAGTGTGTTCGCTCTCACCTGACAAGTCTTTCATTGCAGCAGAGAAGTTCCCAGACCTCTTTTGTGCTCGCTCTCCTACTGCAACAAGACCTTTAAAAAAATAATAAATTTATTAGTAATCAATTTTACTTAATGTCCTTGAAAAAATACCTTCCACTATAGAATCCTGAAACTTAAATTATGTCTTCAAATAAAACAGATTCATTTCAAAACTCAATTCTGTATCTGTTTTGCTACTTAAGTATTAAAGTTGATACCTTTCATACACACTGATTCTAAGAATTATTGCACGCATATTCTTTTAAGGGGCTAGGGAGATAGCTTAGTCATGAAGTGTTTGTAATGCAAACATGAGGACCTGAGCCTAAATTCAATCCCAGAACCCACTTTAAAAATCCAGGTGTGGTGGCACATGCTTGTAATCCTGGCAACAAGGGAGATAAGACAAGTGGATTCTTGAGGCTTCCTGGCCAGCCAGCCTAAAACAAGGGATATGGTGCCTGAGGACTGACAAGAGGTTGACCTCTGAACTCTATGCATGTACACAGGAACCATACAAAAAAACTAATACATGAATACAAACAGAAGTGCCATATAATTATCAACATCACCAGGTCTGTTTCTTTGAAATGGTTTAAGTAGTGAGTATTAACTGCAAGTAATTTCACATATTTATCATCTTTTAAAATATGATACAAAGTTAAGAGTTTAATGTTCACCAAAAAAGCTAGAATTTTAAGCTACTCACACAAAGTAGAAAGTGAAGTCTCCGAGGATAAATGAACCATTTTATCACAGCAATGTTCCCTTAAGTTCTCAAGAGATAATTATAAATTCTTTGCACAACCCTCTTCCCTGTATGTTTACTAAGAAATTAGTAATATTTTAAACCACAAAACGGTGCTTTCCCCACATTCCATGTCTCTTTAACAGCAAACTTTTCAAACATTCCACTGTTAGGAACATTTCAGTATATAAACCTTCCTCACACTTGTTCTGGGATGTACCATTCTCTGAGAACGCACACCTAAGTTATATTCCACAAATGCAATGAGTTGGCTTCTTAGAATTATGAGATACATATCTGATGCACAGCTAATCTGTTTTCAAAGTCCATTAAAACAGTTTAATTGAGTGCCTGGTGTGGTGGTGCACATACCTATAATTAAAGCACTTGGGAAGTCTATGGCAGAAGGATCAGGCGTTAGACCAGCCACCTGTTCTGCATGCTACCATATCTTTAAATAAATACAACCTAAACAAATAAAACAAGCTACCAGAATCTTGTGATTATTCCAACAGAAAAAATTGAAAAGTCAAAGTTGCCAACTGTCTGTTACTTAAATTAATATGTATATATTTAATACCTAGGAACTATATGCAGGCTAAACAAACCTTCCGTACCCCCTGGTTTTTGAATAGGAAACAGCAATAAGGTAATACTAAAAATAATACTGACAGCAGTTAATCCATGATTATCCACCCACAATACAATACTGAGATTGAAAAGGACAAGCAAAAAGAGTTTAAGGCTCTAGGGGCTGGAGAAATGGCCTTAAATAATTTAATTCGGTATAGTCTTTTAAAAATCGTATCATTAGGTGGGACATGGTTGCACATGCCTTTAATCCCAGCCAGAGAGGCCTGTGGATCTCTTGAGTTCAAGGCCAGACTGGACTACATAGTGAATTCTGCCAGCTGGTGCTACAGAGAGATGCTGTCTCCAAAAGACCAAATAAAAATCTTATCATAGGGGCCTAGAGAGATGGCTCAATGGTTAAAAGCACTGGCTGCCCTTGCAGAGGACCCAGGTTCAATTCCCAGCAACCATATGATGGCTTGCAACCATCCAGTTCCAGAGGATCCAATACCCTCTTCTGACCTCCTCGGGCACTTCATAAAACAGGTACACTTATATACATTCAGGCAATACATTCACACAAAATAAAAAAGATACGAAAAATCACATCTCAGGAAAAAAAAGTGCTGGGCCTGGCAGCACACACCTTTAGTCCCAGCACTCCAGGAGACAGAGGCAGGCGGATCTCTGTAAGTTCAAGGCCAGCCCGTTCTATATAGTGAGTTCCAGGCCAGCTGGGGCTACTGGGAGACCACTCAAAAAGACCAAAAAAAGGGGAAAAAAAAGAAAACAAAACAAAAAATATATGAATGAAGCATGGTGGTGTAATTCCTGCACTCTGCAGGCAGGGGCAGGAAAATCACTGCAAGTTCAAGGCCATGCAAGGCTACACAGTAAAACCTTGACTCAAATGACAACCCAATAATGGGCTGGCAAGGAGGCTCAGCAGGTAAAGGCATTTGTTGCCAAGCATGGGAACCTCAGTTCAATATATGAGATCCACATGATGGAAGGGGAGAACCAATCCCAAGAGTTGTCCTCTGACCTCCACAGATGCACAAGCATGTACCACACACAATACATAAAAGTAATAAAAAACGGGGGATTGAGAGGGAACACTATATATGGTTCTATGTTCTACATTAAAAGTAAGTAAAAATGGGAATTCCACTTTCTAAAAATGAAAGTTAAATTCAAAGTTACGTGCATATTTTGACAATATTTGGCAGCTAGCATGATATAAGTTGCCACTAAGTTTCTTTGGGGAAGCTGGAGAGGCGACTCCGTGGTTAGGTTAAGAGCACTTACCATTCTTACAAAGAACCCGAGTTAGGTTCCCAGCACCCACATGGTAGCTCACAAATACCTGTAGCTCCACTTCTAGTTCAGATGCCTTCTTCCTACCTCTGAGGGCACCAAGCATGTACATGGTACATATACATACATGAAGACAAACACCCATACATATAAAATGAAAATAATTTTTTAAAGAGTTTCTCTGGCAAAGAGTTGTATATTATGTAAGAAGTATCTCCAGGGGCTGGAGAGACCGCAGCAGTTAAAAACACTGACTGTTCTTACAGAAGACCCAGGTTCAAATCCCAGCACCCACATGGCAGCTAACAACTGTCCATCATTCCAGTTCCAGGGGATCGGACAGTCTTTTCTGTCCTCCACCGGCATTGCACGACACAGGTGCACTTACCTACATTCAGGCAATACATGCAAACACATAAAAATAATAAAAATATTTTTTTAAAAAGTATCTCCAGTTCAATATCACTAGGACCAAAAAAATATAAAAAAAGAGCAAAATTCAAAATATTAAAAGAGGCATGCGTAATTTTCGAAAACTCACCTTTTCGGTCTGTCTTAAAATCAACTAGGATGGGTTCCTTATTTCCTTCTTTATTTTTTCCTAATCCTTCTCCTTCTCTCCAGCCCATTTTTCTCATCAAAACGGCTCCCATTCCTCCTGTCACTGGGGCTGCTCTTAAGAACTGATCCTATCCAAAGAAAAAAAGGTAAAATGTCCCCAATTTTACAATTAGAACTTGACTACAGAGTTACTGGTAACTTCTTAGAAACAGAAATCTTATTTTACTTCTACTTCTGGTATAGATTAAATTTAAATGCTTCTATACTCAATATATATATAGCATATGTTCTAATTATATTCACATTACCAACACTTTGAAACTCAAATGGCAGTTTTAACAGTAGCCCCTCATGCCCCCTCCAAAAAACAAAACCAAAAAAACAGCAACAACAACAAAAAAAAGAGCACTCCTGTTTTTCGTCCACTATTTAGGTTCACTGGTATCTCTTCTTAGCTTGCAAAATAAAAAGAAGGCAATGTTAAAACAGTCAATAATTTTGTCTCAGAAGTACCCAGTTTAAGAATAAAGCCAAGATATCATTTTAAATAGTTTGGACATTGAAGAAGCATACAGTTGTCATCCAGTTTTCTCCCCCTTCTATTATAAAGCAAGTATTAGTATTTTTACTTAGAAAACCCCTATGAAACAAAGTATCTTTAAAATAAATTTACATGTAATAATAAATTGAAGATACCCTATAAGTATACCAAAATGAATTTGAATTCTTTTAAAACCTAGCTTGATGTTAAAAGACTTTTAAAAAACTCCTTAAATGTTTACATACCTAGGCCTCGGTAGCAGCAGTGTTGTGAATAGTACGGCTGGCACTGACCGGGGCAAGAAGACAGCTACAAGGATTTGGCCCTGAAACAAGTTTCCATACAGAGGGGTGAAAGTTCACAGGTTATTCTGTGAACAATCATCTCTCTTGTATCCAACCCACTGAACCATAATTTCCATCAAAGCAGCAAACCACTTAATGTCCTATGCTGCACAACTATGTACATCAGCATGATCCACAGCCAGTGATCCTCACATTAAGAAATGTCCAGTGCCTCTTTTTAAAAGGCATCCATGCACATCTAACAGAACTGAATTCTACTGTTTATGTGGCTGGTCTGTCTGTCTGTCTCTCTCTCTCTGTGTGTGTGTGTGTGTGTGTGTGTGTGTGTGTGTGTGTGTGCGTGCATGGGGGAGGTTCTTTCAATTAAAGCACATCCAAATCATTTCCCATTGTTACTACATTTTAGGTTAATATTCTCTGTCAAATATACGCCAAGTCATTCATGTATCAACAGGAGTCACATTTTGGTAGTTCAGCAAACAAGTGTGCATTATTATTATTTCCTATATCAGTAATACTAAGATTAAAAGTTATTTTCACACCATAGTAAAATATATAGTTTTCCCCCAGCCTTGAAATTAAATGCTGAGGAGAAAAACATGCCAATGACATGTGATTAGACATTAAGTTCAACAAGGTGCTCTGATGGAAGGAGGCAGCTGTGGAGGTAAAAACATACCCCTGGTTCAGTTCCTTATTTGGTGCAGGCCATGCATTGTAGATGTATAAAGAGAAAAGTTAGCTGATACTTGGATATCACCTGCCTTGATGCTACACACCTAGAATGACTTTTACTTACTTCCAGGTTCATCTGCCCCTCTTTTCCAGGAAACACTCCTAAAAAAAAGGGCAACTGTACAGACAGAGTACAATATAAATCCCAAAATAACCCAGTTTTCCAATTCTGCTTCTGTTCTCTAATACATTTTCTCTAATACATTTACCTATTTCTTTACTCAGTGTGTATACAGTTCATACAAAATCTGATTCATTCAATGAGACCACAATAACGATTTTTGTAAATTCACCTCCAAATCATTAAGTCAGTTTTTTGACATGTTTTACTCACAAATGAGAATATTAATAAAATATTCCTCTTAATCTGAAAATATCTTACAGCAAACTAAAGAACACAAAGTGCTGGCTGGCATCCTCTGGTTTTTAATACGTAGTAACAGTGGTTTGGCTACATGAAGGCCAAGACAAACCAAATGATCATTTCAACATTTCTTACACATTTAGAAGGTGCAGACAGTATTGATGATACCTATGAAATTTGCAGTTGCCTAATGATTTATTATAAGTGTTCTGGCCTATTTTAATAAAATAATTCTCCCCTCATTGATATTAAGCAGATATTCAGTATTCTTTACACATGAACGCTGTCCTAAGAGTGTTGCTTTTTTCTACAATTTAAAGCTTGGTCTGATAATTTATCAAAATAATTTGCTTTCAAAAAGATATTCAACAGAAAATGCAAAGCATTTTTAAAAGGTTCTACTAAGCATTGACTACTTAGATCAACAATACTGAAACTGTATTTAGGTGAAAGTTTATAGGGAGCCAACTGAATCAGTAAAGATTCAGTTTGTAAAAATTATATGTTTATATGACACACATAAACATATGGCAGCATGTGAAGTCCAAAATTTTACTTGGAAGTGGAAACACTTCCAAGGTTTTATCTAGCAATTTACATTAACTTTTATAGCGCACATAAACACTTAAAACTGTGTCTAACCTGAAATATTAAACATTTAGCTTCAAGACTGGATACAGTATCAGTCAAACAAGGCTGAAGGTGTAGCTCAGTGGTAGAACACATGCTTAGTCCATAAGCAAGGCTCTGATTTTAATATACAATACCAAAAGAAAAGCAAACACGAAATTCTTTCACTAAGGTGAAAGCCACTTTTAACTATGAAGTATTAGTATATAAAATATAAAGTTAATCAAATTTAAAAATACTTTTGCTAATTATCCTCTTATCCCAAAACTAGTCCCTAGTACATATTAGTGCAAACAATTCTTTTTTTAAAAAGGCACAATGAGGCTGTGCAATATCTTATGTTAATTTGTTACTAAGACAATCACAGGTAATGTTATCAAAACTGTTAAGGTATTAAAATGTCCAGAGCAAATTCAGCTCATCAAATGGTACACGTTCCAATTCTATATAGGTCCCCATCACATCACTGATTACCACTCTCTAAGGCAGTAATAAGAACTTGTCTCCCTCCACTCAACACTTGGAGGAAACTCCAAAAAATTACTTGCCCATGATCACACAAGGAGTCAGGAGTACAGCAGGATAAAGAAACATTCCCAATCCAACAGACTATGCAGCCTCCCAGTTTCAGCACTGCTATGGTGCCAGTACTCCTGAAACAAATTTCCCATCACCCATCCAGCCAACCACAGACCTTCACCACACAGCGTTTCTTCAGAAAGCCCTTTTTTAGCCACCTAAGACTCCCCCAACAATGAGGTAGTCGTAGGTGGAGTTGACACATCTCACTGCAGGAATCTGAGACCAGGAGCACCTACATCTTCACAGCACGAGATGTCCGTCCTCTCCCTTGAGTTTAGGGTCTTATATGTCCTGTTTTTTCATGAAGTCAGTGGTTCTCAAACTGAGCCTGTGGATCACCAGAGGCCACCAGGACCTACATGGTGGTCCACAGGTAAGTTATCTCCATCCCACCCTCTTACCACCCTTCACAAATGCCCACCCCACACTCCAGCCAACCTCCCCCAGCCATTCAGTCCCATGGCAAGTTTACCACATGCAGTGCTAATACTAAGGCCTCCCAACCGCTTGCATTATATCCAACAGGTGACCACCATATAGGGACCTGGGGCTGGAAGTCACAAAGGGTAGTGAAGTAGCAAAGGGTTCTCTTATTTTAAAAGGGTGCAGGCACTAATGATAGGACAAGGATAGAGGAATGGAGGAATGGAATATTAGGAAAAGGGCTCTTGGGGATAGTGATCCACCAAAACTAAACCTGTAATAAAGTATCCCGTGATGAAAAATTTGAGAACCACTGCTCTGAAATGATTAGGTTAGTAGTCCAGCAGGAACTGTGGAATATTCTGAACAAACAGCACCTAATACAGTTAGCATTCAAAACAGTTAAGTAAAACCACCCCCACCAAAAACAGCAGCAAGAAATAAGAAAAAGAACAACCTTAGGATATAAAGTGAGTGGCTCTTGAGCCATATTTATACATTTGGCATTGTTTCACGATTTCGGTCCATCTTCAGTGTCCATCCTGGAGCATATACACAGCAAATTTACTCAGGAACTTTGGTTAGTGTCACGTGCCTCTTTGTACATTTTAAATGAAAGACTATCCAAAAACCCTTAACTTTGTATTTTTTGACAGTTTGTATGTGTATAATTGTGTACCTTTTTAATCCAGGCTTGGGCACCAGTATTAGCCAGCTGTTCCTGTGTCAAAACTTGTACTCCTGTACTTCCTGTGAATTGGCCAGGAATAGAATTCAACTGAGCCCAGGCATCAATCTGAAGAAAAAAGCCATCTTGATTAAGTAAAATTATTGATCTGCTAAACAGTGCAGCATTTAGTTCACTAAAGACAATTTGTTTCCTAAAAAGGCCAAGTAACTAAATATTTTAGATTCAGTGGTATCCTAAGTCTTCCAAATAAGCATTTCTACAACATTCAGTGAATTCCTTTAATTCAAAAGAAAGTATGAGGTATATCTCCAACTAAAAAAATATAGGTATAATACTCATTCTTTAAAATACCACACAGATACATGAAAAACGTAGACAAGTTCATGGGGCAAAAGAATCTCTGCATTTGCTATTTGACGTATCTCATACAAATGCATCTTAATAAATGCTGTGACCACCTAGATCTTTGACTAATTCCTTTGGGATAATATACACAGTAAGACTGATACAAGAAATCAGTCAAGAAACAAAAAAGTGGTTTTTGGGGTTTTTTGAGGGGGAGGCTTTTTGAGAGAGTTTTTCCTGTAGCCACAGCTGGCCTAAAACTTATGTAGCTAGACCAGCTGGCCTTGGAGATCCACCTATCTCTGCCGTGCTGAAATTAAAGGCGTGTGCCACCACACCCAGCTAACATTTTTCTTTAAAAAGTAGACTATATCAATCACCAGTATTTCTTGTGGGGGCTGGAGAGATGGCTCAGCAGTTAAGAGCACTGACTGCTCCTGCAGAAGACCCAGGTTCAATTCCCAGCACCCATGTGGCAGCTAACAGTTCCAAGGGATTTGACACTTTCTTCTGAAGTCCAAGGGCATTACACCACATGGTACACTTACACACATACAGGCAATATACTCATACACATAAAATATTTTAAAAATTTATTGTGGTATAGAAATAGCTGTCATTCATAGTCTCTAGTGTATACTTGGTATTGCCAGCAATGTTACTTCCTACCTGAATTTACTGTTTCTAATAGATTTAACATAGAAAGGTAAAATACAACTAGAACAGCTAGCTGTCCACTATTAAATGCACAAACTCTATTCATATGGTTTGGTTTGAATGCCAATTCTCCTACTTAGTAGTTGTATGTTCTTGGCTATCACTTAACTAACTACTCTTTACTGAAGTTTGCTGAGCTGAAACATGGGACCCAATAGTAATAGCTAACACCTCATAGACTTGTTGTGGGTGCATAGCCTGTTTATACATCAGATTGTAAACTCTGAGGGAAGTGTATTTTCTATTTTGTTCTCTCAAGAATAGTTCCTGTCACATAGTATATGATAAACATTGGTTAGGTCTAAAGTCACTTTTATGTATAAAAAATTACAATGAAACCCATTTTTTGGTATGTTAATTTTTTTTTAATTTTTTTTAAAAATAAATGATTTTGGGCTAGGGATATAGCTCAGTGGTACAGTGCTTGCCTAGCATATGTGTGAGTATTAATTCAATCCCTAACACACCCAAAAATGATAAATGGTTTATCACATACGTTTTAATAATTCAACCAATGAATTAGTGAAATTCCCATTTAGCCATTAAAACCAGCTACATACCCTTTCTTGAGCTCGATTTAACATACTCATGGCTTCAAGGTCAAATGCATTCTCACTGAGTCTCTTCTGAGCAAGTGCCCGTTCACTCATTGCTGTAGAGATGTCCACAGGCTAAGAAAGAAAACATAGATAATTATCTCAAATTACCATAGTCTCCTAAATTCTCAAGTGCTACTACCTTTAGTTGGTACATGTCCCCAAAAAAGGTTGTGTATATTAATAACCTTGGAAAGTAAGAAGATTCAAAAAGGCAAAGAAGTACTCTTCAAAAGTAAGCAACACTAAGGTAAGTTAGCTATAAAGTATTCAGAGGCAGCAGAACTCAACCCAAATTCTGACTGATTTCAGTGGGTTTTTTCTACAGTATCAAACTATAACCATTGCATTGTATTATGAACTTAGCTTTCCAAGCCACTTAAGGTAAAATGGTAATTTTTTACTGTCATGCTACAATCTTTGCAAGTTTTCATTTTGTTCAATTTAATTATTAATGTAACTTCCAGAAGTAGCAAACAAACTGGATAAGCAAGCAGAAAGATATTATGTTGTCAGTGTGGCTCCTTAACAGGTCAGCATCTCAACTTTACTGCAGTTGTGCATGGATATATTTTAGTCTGAAGAACCCATTATCTTCAAAGAATATACTCATATGTTATACATTTATTACAATAATCTATAGTAACACTGATTTTTTAAAATAATGTAATAGTCTATCTTTAAAACCTTACTCTAAGCCAGGCATTGTAGCACACACCTTTAATATCAGCACTGGGGAGGCAGAAACCAAGCCTGGGACGGTCTACTTAGCAAGTTCCAGGCCAGTTGGGGCTACATAGTGAGTCTCTATATCTCAAAAACACAAGCAAAAATCTCTAATGCTAAGAAGCTTAAAGTTTAGTTCAGTGGTAAAGCTTCTTTACAACATGTTTGAAGCTATGGGTTTGATCATTAACACCAAAGAATTCTTTTTTTTCTGGGGGGGGGTGGTCTTTTTGAGACAGGGTCTGCCAGTAGCCCCAGCTGGCCTGAACTCACTGTGTAGACCAGGCTGTTCTTGAACTCACAGAGATCCATCTGGCTCTCCCTCTCTAAGTCCTGGGAGTAAAGGTGTGCACCACTGCACCCAGCAACACCAAAGAATTCTTAATAAAAACAAAACATCTTTGCGATAAGGAGAAATAATTTTAATGTTTTAAGCATTATTGGAACAAATTTTCAGAAATTTGTCAGGTTAAAAGGTTTATTCACAGAAGAAAAAAACTTGTGAAGCATTTGAGTTTTGTTTATAATTAACACAAATTGAATTCTATCAATTCATTAATTTTTTTTCTTTCAGTATCATATAACCTATTAATAATTTCTGGCCATTTCACATAAGAAAATAAGTTTTTGGAAAATGTATCTGATAAGGATTTACTGTTCTGACAAAGAATCATCAGATATTACATGGACATAACAAATATAAGGAAGTCATAAAATAGTTAACAGCTATTAATTCTTTTAAAGATAGAGAAAGCTGAATGACTGAGATTAATATTTTATGCATAAGGACTAAGTATCCTTTTCAGAACTCTGAATTCCCTTACAAATTAATAAGTTACCTTGCTGAAATCACCTGATAATCCTTGGATAAATCAATTTTTTGTTTCTTCCACAAAGTATAAATTCTTACATACCTTCATAAAATGAAACAAACTGAATGTGTGATTACAACTGTTTACTATTAAAAGATCTTATTTGCTTAGTTAACTTATTAAATTATGCACACTGAATATTTCTGAAGCCTACAAGACAAAGTCAGACTATGTTCACCTTTAGCTTCTACTGTAAGTTGATTTAATTCCTAGGACACAAATCTGCTCTGGGTGATTCCTGGGACCTTCAGTGTGGATACAAGTATTTCAGGCCAAAATTTGTCTCCTGTGCTTACCTTGGATGTCACCTAAACTGTCAAGTGCAATTATCCAGATTATTTATGAAGGCCTAGCAAGTGAGACAAAGTGTCTCATTAACCTCCGTAGATGTGCTCTGGTTTTCTCAGCCATCTATCAAACCTAAGTGCTAGGGTGCTTAGGCATAAGTTGTTTATTCTGGAAAGGCTAAAAAACTCTGAAAGCCATGGGAAAAATGTGTGTACTCAGTCCAAATAAAACCTCAATTCCCAGCTATAAGTCATAAAAATGTAATGTGGCTCCAAAAACTAGTTCTTTTCAAATGGAACACAAAAGAATTTACCTATCTAAAGACTTTATCCTTTATAGATATTTAATTTCCATTTTTTCTTAAACTTTACTGAGAAATAACCTAAAAACCCTCTTTTAGCACTAAGATGAAACTTCCTGTCTCAGTATTATTTCATATCAAATTTACATGTCACTGTAGAAAGAATTTTTAATATAGCAACTTTGAAATTTAAATGAATGCAACCATTTTTTTCTTGATGTAATACAACTGCATTTATTCAACAGGCTTACCAAATAAATAAAGCTGCAAGTTCATATCAAAATTTACTTCCAAGTACCAACTTCATTTCATGTTATTAGTGTGAAAACTATATTCAAAATAGCACAAATCTAGATTTTCTTTGGCTATGCATGTTGTTCAGCAGTAAAGTGCTTGCCTAGCATTTGGAAGGCTCTTGCTTGGTTGGACCTCTAGCAGAGACTAAAAAAAGGGGGGATGGGGGTGGACTTTTAAAGATTCTCAAGAGTTTAATCCAAAAGTCTATTTTCAGCTTTTAAAGGTAAATCAGATTATATACTAATACATAAAAAGCCAATCAAAATCCCCAAATGTTACATACCCTAATTAAAAGCACATAAAATATCATAGCTAGTACTTGAAATTCAGGAAATGTGATTAAGAAACTTTTTCAATGACTTTAGAAAGTATTGTAGAATCTTAAACCAGCCTTTAATATTGTTTAAAAATTAAAAATGAGACAGGTTCCATGATAAAAACCCTTCTACAAACTAAGAGACTTTTAAATTTGTAAAATACTTACTGAATTGGTAACATACTCTATATTTCCACTAATAGACTAGCTTCCTACCTAATGTATAAAAATGTACAAAATCTATAAAATGACTATGTAGTAATACTCTTCATTTTATCATGGAAGAAATGTTTAATTCCCTTTTCCTAGGGCTTGTTCTAAAAGATACAATCTATACATGGTGTTCTGAATTACAATTCTCATAATGAAAACTAACCCATTTCTTTAATTTTTATCTCAGATTACTGCTACCTCTAAAATCTGCCATTGTTATCAGGTTATCACATTTCATGACCTATAATTATAAACTATTAAGTGTACATTTTATATATTTTAACACCTTAAAAAAATCCTTCTAAATGAATTTACTCTCTGCTTTTGTTAAATTTGGGTATTTATATAAATAGAACATGCATAAAAGAAAATTTGCAATACAACCACAAAAGAAATCTTATCTATAAAACATCTACATTACTTAGCAAAAAAAAAAAAACCATTAAAATGCGCCAGTTTATAGATGACAAAATGACAACTTCAAAAAGGAAAGCCACACTAATATAGAACATCTCAGTTACTGCGGTTTTTGAAAGTGAATTATGAATATTTTTATTATACAAGATTAGTGTAACTGAGATCACCTAAATGAATTAGAGAGAAAAAAACCTCATTAAACAGTTCAGAGAAATTCAGTATTAACACCCTAAAAACATCTAGGGAATAAAAGAATGAACAAAAAGCTTCACATTTCAGGCTAGCAGTACATGATTCTAGAACGGGTGCTTTAACTTCCAACTGAAATTTTTAACTTACTCCAACAAGGTAGCTTTCCTAAACTTCATAAAACCTGTTTCTAATTTTAAGGGACTTTTAGCTTCACTGGGACAATGTAAACGTGATTCATTAATACAAACCTAACACACTGCTTGAGATAGTATATACTAAGTACACAAAAACTCTGGATTAGTGATTATAAGTGTACTGTTTACAGTATCTTTAATCTTCTAACCAATAAGCCATTGCTAACCTTGACAATGAATATCCCTGAGGACTACTTTTTATTTAATTTTCCAACTTTTTTTCCTTTGTTTATAAATCAAATTCACACAAATATGTTGAAAGTTCTGTAGTCACTCCTTACTGAGGATACTGGTTGGTTTCTGGGTAGGAAGACGATGCTATGGCAGAAGGGCACACAGTCTGATGAGTTGTTTCCCATAACATGGATTTACGCTGATCATCTGTGTCTATCATGTCCACTCATGTCCACACACTTATGTAAGACAACTGGCTGGTTTAGGGATTACAGTGAGGATAATTTGACCTTTATGAAAATAAAATCTGTGACCTTTGCCAAAATGTTTTATGGTCAGACTAAAGAACCACAAACTCCGTTTATTTATTAAAACAGAAAGACTGATGAAAAGTAAAAACTATCACCCAGGTTTTAAAAGGTTGACCATTTAGAACTTTTTTTCTTTAAAAAAAAAAAACTTTATTTGAAGCCCTATAGAATCAAGTCAGTGCTCCAAGAAAATGTCAACAAAGTACTATGTTGATAGGATACTAATTCTACAAATACGGTAGCTAAATAAATGGAATGAACACTATATATTATGAACTTTTCTGAGTGTTTATAATGTTATTGCTACGTAAGTGCAGATTGGAAAACAAACAATCCTATCTCCTCCCTAAAATTTGGGGATTCTTCTCTTCAGAACTAAAGTCAATTTATATAGTCTTTGAGTCTAATACTCTATATAAGCTTAAGGGTTCTGGCATTGTGTTAATCTTCCCAAGAGACATATGCTTTACTCATTTCACTCTGTGTAGACCTTTCTTTTTAAATTTCATTTTCTGACAACATTGCCCCCAGGTATCTTTATAATGCCCTTCCACCTTAATTAAAACCTAACTGCCACCTGTGATGAGACAAAGCCAAAGCATCTCAGTGTCAAGACTGAGAACAGCTGAATCCTAAATTTTAAGTAATAAACACACTTTCTTGAGTAAAAGAAGTATAATCAACATTTACCAAGCACTTTCCCCATTGTTCAACAGAAGTTAAAATAGTCCTAATTGTTTCTTAGGAAAATCTCCTAGAATTCTACAGTATGTTTAAGTCTTTGCTAGAGAAGAGATTTTTGCTTAACTATGTTCTTTCCAACTCTGTTTAAATGCTTAATATGCAATAAATAACTGAAAGCATATATACCAGGTTGTCTAAGTAAATCTGCACAGCCCTCTCATCCTGTTTTATATCCAGCTACCACAAGAAGATTAAGTTAGCTGCAAATGAGTTAACCTTTCCCTCTTTTGAGATGTGCAAGTAGCCTGATTTGGGAATTAGTACATGAGCGCTACTGGTTTTGTTAAAATAGTATGCAAGCTAGCTATCCTTTCTCCTCATTGGTGATGGTATAATTTGCATCAATTGTTGAACACGTGAATATAGACCATTGCTATAAGTTAGTTGCACTGGCCAGTAATGTTTAACTCTACCATACAGAACCGTTCCCATTCAAAATGCCGCAGGTCAAAAAAACTCAGTGAAAATGTCGCCTGTGAATAGCTCTGGGGGGAAAGTACTGCATGAAAAAGTTTCTGATTTGGGTTCTGTTTACTTTCTGATTTTATAAGCAGTATTTATTTGTAGAATTGAAAGTGTTTACTGGAAGATGATGATATGGCCAATGTAGGGAACTTCAAGTGATGAGAATAGAGGTCTCTTAGACCTACATACCCCAGAACTGCAAGAAAAAGTCCTTAAGGGCATCAGATATCTAAATCCAGTCCTTGGACGAATGTCAAGGCTTTGGAAACCAAAGGCAAGAGGTGACGACAACTAGTCTATGGTATCATTTAAAACTCCCACCTCCCCTAGTTAAGTCTCCACCCTCCCCAGATCCCCAAGCGTGATTTTGCACAACAAGTTAAATAAAAGTAAACTGTTTATTAAAAGATACAGCAAAGATACAGATACAGAGATACATACAAAGATACAGATATATATATATTTACATATATATACAGTCTTGCTGTTCTCATGTGCACTGTATTTAGCAGCACATTATTTAATCAGGCGGCATTTTAATGGGGTTGTTTTGACATTTGGCATTGTTACTGCGTCATTTTGACAAGATACAACTACACCCTTGTGGTAATGTCAAAGTGTAAATTCCACTCCTCCAACTTTTAATAGTAGCAAAGAGGGGAAGGAGAAGGGAATGGAGAACCAAGGCTGAACATTAGGTTAAACACAAGAATTCAAAAGGGCTAAGGTAGCACAAGGAAGGAAAAAGTTATTAAAAATCAAAGGCTATCTAAAAACCCAAAGAAATAGTAAGAAACCATCACTTAAGGGCAATGGGCTATATACCCAAGATGTTCACATTGAGCCTACAATGACTTATTTCAACCCAGTTCTTGTGTTGAACCTGAGGATCTGCCTTCTCTTCCCTCAATCCCTCCACCCAATAAAATTGCTACCACCAAAATCTAGAGCTATAGAGCCTTGAAGCAAAACGGGAAGCTAAGTAGTTGTACCTTGGGCTACCTTCCCACAAGTGCATGGAGGGCCCAATGTTGGGTAGGGATGTGATAACACTTTTCTCTGCAATTCGATGCTTTTCACTTTGTGGCTTCGTTCCACAAAGTGAATTGCATCGAGTTACTGTCAAATGAGAAGCTGCGGGTTGTTTCATCTGTCGTTTAACCCGGCCCTGCCGTTTAACCCGGCCCTAAGAAGAGTGAAACAGAATCCAAATCAGATATAAAGTAACAATAAAATGGAAGATTCAGATATAAAAAAAACAAAAATAGCAATATTCCTACTACTTACCTCTGAGGGCAAACTGCTGCTGAAAACATTATCATCATCTTTGTTTTCTTCACCATTTTTCTCGACAGGAACCCACTCTCCATAAACACTATCCGCTTCTTTCTTTCGGTGCTGAGATCCAGATGACACAGGAAATTCTTTTGTTAATGTTACCTGGCTTTTTGGTGGAGTTGGCTTTGCTGCAGCAATCTAAAAAAATAATTGTTTCTTAATTAAAAGCCAACGTAACATATACCATAAATAGTTTTTAAAGAACTTCAATATAATCTGAAGGAAATACTTATTTTTATTTTTTGCAGTGGAGAAATCGCACTTAGGGCCCCACACATGCTGGGCAAAGCATTCTACCGCTGAGCTACATTCCCAACCCTATGTTTAGAGGAAACTGTCACTACTTAGCATATTTATTGTGCTAAATTCCATGTGGATTTTAAACAGTTCCATGAAATGTGCCATTTCATCAATTCATAAACACTAATACTCACATTCAGATTGAAAAAAATGGGCTTGGGTTCACTGAGTTTAAAGGGATGATGATAAAAAGGAGGCTCTTCTTCCTCTTCATCCGAAACATGAGGTTTATTCACTATTATGTCATCATCTTCTTTACTCTGTGCAATCTGTTTGCATTTCTTTAAAGTAAAAACAAAAAAAAATAAATTTGTAGTTTACATAAAATGTAATTTTTTAAAGAATCATAAAATCAACTTATAAAAGTATCAACATTTACAATTACAGATTAATACTTTAGCTTACTATTATTTTTTTCTTTATTATTATCTTTGAAAAATATGGAATGCTTCACGAATTTGCATGTCATCCTTACGCAGGGGCCATGCTAATCTTTTCTCTGTTTCGTTCCAATTTTTTAGTATATGTGCTGCTGAAGCAAGCACACTAGCTATTATTTAAACACACACTGGCTGCTCAGTCAACAACATTTATTGAGCACCTACTATGTGCAGAGCACTGTACTGGGCACTGTCTTGGGAAAAATACAAAAAAAAAAAAAAAAAAAAAAAAAAAAAAATGAAGGCATGGCCCCTGCCCCAAAGGAGTTTACAATCAAAAACTGGTCCCTGCTCCAAAGGAGCTTACAATCTAATACCAGAAACAAAAGAGTACATATACATGAAATAAAGAACCTTTTTACAGAGCAACACATTAACAAGTGCAAACTGATAAAATACAAACTGAGTACATTAAGTGCTAAAAGAACAAAGGCTTAAGAGAATATTCAGGCAGGGTTTGAGAATCAATGACTATTCCTTCAAGAGTCCTAAGCCAAATTTTCAGAAGAAAGAATAAAAACTGGGAAGGAAAAGGAAAGAAAGTCATCTTGGTCAGGTGGTGGTGAACAAGAGAAGAAAAACTTGTTAAAAGGGACATGAGTGCTGAAGATGAGGCAAAAAACAGCAAAATGCTAAGTGTTTATCATAGAGCTTTAGATAATCAGCCTGCATTTGGTAAGTTAGCAAGAGGGTTTTAATAGGTCTTAAGTTGTAATTCATACTAGGTGAGGGAACCAATGAAGAAACTTTATGATCCCCAAATATATGGTAAGACTTGAAACGTTTATGGTACGGTAGACAGTAACTTGTCTCCCCATAAATGCTTTTAAAAATTAATATCTCAAGGACTTAAACTTAAGAATGGAAAATAAGGCATGATGGAGAGGGTGCAGCTGATGCAGTCCAACATATAAAGTCAATTCCTTCCTCATAAGCAAAGGAAGAGACTCCATTTATAAAAAGGTTAGAACAAATTTTGGTAGATCTGTCTATACAAGCAAAATTTCTCACATCTATTATCAATTGAAAATATTACAATAGAATTAAAAAGCTCAATTAGCCAAAAACACAACAATAGTATATCAAGCATGTAACCAATGGAAACAACAGAATATATTGACAGTGGCAGGCTGGCCTAAGGCTAGCCAATAACAAGTTTCAATATATGAAACACTGTGTTATTTCTGGATCCTAGCAGCAATATTTCAGCATCCCCCCCCCCAAAAAAAAAAATAAAATAAAACAAAGCTTTCCCCAAAAGCCTCCATTTCAAAAGATCAAATTTTTAAAAACAAAAATAAGTATATTTAAAATATGTTACTGCCAAAACCCGAACCGCAGGAAGAACTGATAATGGCCGGCCATTATCGCCAATGGCTGGTACCAAACAGCCAAAACCCGAAATGTTGATGCGAAAGAAGTTCCTTTCAGGCAATGGCCAGCTATTCTCATTAATTTCCAAGCTCCGGTGGCAAAAGATCATTTCTGAAGATTGTCTGTGTCTTTGCGTATATGCAGTACACTCGTGGCGATCAGTGAACACGTCGTGAATGGAAACGAAAGCTTCTGCGTGTTGCTCACTCAACACCTCCTCCATTCAAACGAACCGTCCCACTCCTCAGTCAGTTTGGCTTCTAAAACTGGAAAGCAAAAGTAATGGGAAGTAACTTTTTAGCTGGCGGAGCTTAGCCATCCCGGATAATGGCCTGCTAAACAGAGCTTCTGCCGCTGCCACATCTGTATTTCGGGTTTTGGGCACTCGGTGCCAGCCATTATCAGTTCATCCCACAATTCAGGTTTTGGCACGCTCCAGAGTCAACATCCATGGATTAATCCATTTAAGAATAAAAACAAATTCTTCTCTAGCTTACCTCAGTTAGTTCTTCTATAGTTGCTCCTCCAGACTTTTTAGCAACTTTCTCTTCTATTGTAGGTGGAGGCGCAGGCTTTAGGTTTGGTGGTAAAGGAACACCAGCCTTAGCACACATGGCAGCTGCATTAGCTTTGGCTATTTCAAGTAATTGAGCCTTATCTGTAAAAGGAAAAATACAAGAAGCAGTTTTCCTAAAAGCTATACATTTTGTACTACCAAAAATATACAGTAAAATTAGAGGCATCAAGAGGATGGAGAGATGATGACTCAGTGTTTAAGAGCACTGGCTGCTCTTGCAGAGGACTGGGGTTCAGGTCCCAGCACCCACATGATGGCTAACAACCATTCATAACTCCAATTCCGGGGAATCCAACACCCTCTCCTGGCCTCCACAGGCACTACATGACACAGGTGCACTTTCTCATACATGCAAGCACATAAAATACTAAATGTAATACTTTAAAAAATTAAAGACATCAGTGTTCTGTCCTAAAGTAAGTCTATGCTGGGTTTCCAATTCAAATGCTACAAGTGCTTACTATGAAACAACAATAATCACCTAACAACAAATTCCAAGATAAGCCTGCTTTGCAAAGCCAACTTTATATCCCCAAATTACCATGACCTTAAAATTACCCTCATTTCATGCTGAGGATTTAGCTCAGTTGCTAACAGTGCTTGCCTAGCATACACAAACAAGGCCTTGGGTTCAAACCCCAGTACTACATAAAACCAGGATGGGCTGTTAATCCCCAGTCCTGGGGAGGGAGAGAGAGGCGGGATCAGAAATTCAAGGTCAACCTCAGCTTCCCAGGGAGTTAGTTTGAGGCCAGCCTGTACCCTAGCATATTCACACACACAGGCATACCCAATTCATTCTAATCTGACAATCGCTTAATCACTTAAGTCCAAAGTGCCACCTGTCAACAAGCCTTCACTGAGTCAGAATTAACATACCTCTCCACCGTGCTAATGTGCCTCTACACCATTCACTGGGACAATCACCACATTCTACCTTTCAAGTTTTGTCCTTTGGTAAAAGGAGTGCATTACCAATCTCCTTCACTAATTTAATCACTTTGGAGTTACATACTGTTCCTCCCTTCTGAGTAAAAGTCAAGTCAGAAAATTCTTATTAAATTGAATATAAATTCTGCTCTATTTCTTGTCTTTTTCTTTAAACAGTCCTAACCTAAAATGCCCCATCTTTTGGGACAGGTAATCATGTGTTCTTCAAGTTTTAATCATCTCTGCATATTACTTAAAGTAAAAAAATATTAAGAGCATTTTTTTTTTTTTTTTTGGTCTTTTGGAGACAGGGTCTCCCTCTAGCCCCAGCTGGTCTGGAACTCACTACTCACTATGTAGACCAGGCTGGACTTGAACTCAGATCCTCCTGCCTCTGCCTCCAGAATGCTGGATTAGAGGAGTGTACCACCATGCCTGGCAAGAGCATTTTTTTTTAAAGGCAGAACAAATTCTGAACTAATGAATAGCCCTTCATTGAGCTAGTTGCATCACTAATCCAGTTAATTAACTCCCAGATACAAAATTTCTTAATTTTATTAACCAACCATATAATCAAAATTACCTTCACTTTTAACAATCCTAGATTGCCATTTTACATTTTACAGGCACGATGACTCAGCCTGTAATTCCATCAGTCCAGACTTAGAAAAAGAAGTATGTGGGTATGACCTAGCAAAGTGGCTCACACCTTTAAACACAGTACTCTGGAGGCAGAGGCAGTCAGATCTATGAGTTGAAGCCAGCCTATGGTCTAGGTAGCGAAGTCCCAGGCCAGCCAGGGTTACACAGTGAGACCCTGTCTCAAAAAAAAAAAAAAAAAAAAAAAAGAGCTTTGCTACAAGTTTGTGGGCAGCTTGGGGCTACACAGTAATTCTAGGCCAACCTGGACTGCAGAATAAGATCCTGTCTCAAAAACTAGCTAAAAACGTTATTAAGTGAAAACTTTTAAAATTGTTATTTTCAGGGCTGAAGAGATGGCACAGCGATTAAGAGCACTGGCTGCTCTTGCAGAGGACCCAGGTTCAGCTCCTAGCACCCACACAGCAACTAACTACTATGTATAACTCCAGTTCCAGGGGAACTGGACACCCTCTTGTATTTGGTCTTTTTTTTTGAGACAAGAGTCTCCCTGTAGCCCCAGCTACTATGTAGACCAGGCTGGCCTCAAACTCACAGAGATCCACCTGCCTCTGCCTCCCAAGTGCTGGGATCAAAGACATGCACCATCACACCCAGCCTATAAGCTTTGTTTATAAGTGTTTTTCCACCCACTCTTGCTTTTTTAATTCAGGCAAAATGACTTAAGCAATAATATTTAGCAGTGGAATTCTAGTATACTCCAAAGCAGGTCTTTAACCTTTTACACACACTTATCCCTGTATTTTCACACATTATCTAATCATATCTAAATAACCCCAATGCTTCCTTTTGACAAGATAGCACAAAAAAAAATTAAATTAAAAAAATAAGGAGGCTTAAATCATTCTGTTACAATGCTAGTAAATTTTAAAGCCATAACTCACCCAAATCTGTGAGACGTTTGGGTGATCTGCCTCTTTCAGAAGACCTGGATCTTTTACGACGGATGGGAGATCTACTAAACCTTCTTCTCAAGGGTGTTCTTGATCGCCTTAATCTGACTGGTGATATACTGAAGCTTCGTCTTCTCACCACAGACCTTGATCTTCTTCTTCGGCTTGGGGTGCGGCTCCTACGGCTGGGTGTGCGGCTCCTACGGCTAGGGGTGCGGCTCCTTCGGCTTGGGGTACGGCTTCGCCGGCTTGGGGTGCGGCTCCTCCGGCTGGGGGTGCGGCTCCTTCGGCTGGGGGAAATGCTGAAACTCCTCCTCCTACCAACAGATCTAGACCTTCTTCGGCGACTAGGAGTGTGACTCCTACTGCGTCGACTTGGGGTTCGACTTCGAGCTCGAGCTGTTTTTCGGTTATCCCGGGAGCTTGATCTTTTCCTTTTTCTTTCTCTGGACTTGGATCTGTGCTTTGGAGATCTCTTACGCTTCTCTTTTGATGCAGATCGCCTTCCTCTAGATTTAGATCTTGACCTGCTGCTTCTCCTCCTGCGTCTTGACCGTGACCGTGACCGTGTTTGAGAACGATGAGACTTTGACTTAGATGACCTCTTCCTTGCTCTAGAACGAGACTCACTGGTACGCTTTCGTGACTTGTGTTCAGAAGACTTGGACCGCTTACTCCGAGACCTTAATGAAGAGTCTCTCTTCTTTTCTTTCTCACCTTTGTCACGGTTTTTGTTTTTCTTGCTTTTTTCATGTGTGTCCTTAACTTTTACAAAAATTTCATAGTCATCTTTTTCCTCTGAAGAAGACTCTGAGGCCCTTTCTGGTATACTAATTACAACTGGACTGGCAGCTGATTTGTCACGTTCAACTTCACTTGCAAGTAAAGGTCCTTCAATACCAGCTCTAAGGCTTGTAAGACGTTCCATGTCCTTAGGAAGTAATGGCCTCACTAAGTCAGCTTCATTAATTTCATCAATGCTGGCAGAAAATCCTGAATCAGGGACTATTTCGTTAGTAGGAAGAGGTACTTCTTCACTTTCTTTAGGGCTAAGAGCAACTGCTACCGTCTGGTCAGTCTCTTTTGTAGGTAATGAGTCTTCTGTATCCTTACCAACAAGACTATTTGATGATAAATCAAGATGAATGTCTTTAGCAGGCAAAGGTCCCTCTATGTCAGCTTCACTGCCAGCACTAGGGCTGGTAGAAATGACCATGTCATGTTCAGTATCTTGAGTAGTTAAAGATACATCAACATCATATTTACTAACTAAACTGGGAGCAGATGCTGTGACAAATTCCAACCCCTTATTAGCTCCCACTGTATCAGGTTCCATAGCAAGTGGACCAGAAGATAGAATTGCTCCTACATCAGCTTCACTAACACCAGGACAGGTATCCAATATAGTGCCTTGTTTAGTCTCATTGATGGGTAAAATTTTCTCTTCAGCAGTTTCACCAACTGGAACAATGGTAGCAGCACACATCATATTATACTCTGTATCTTTAGCAAGTAAATGATTATTTCTATTAAGGTCTGTATTTCTACCATGCTCACTTTTGTAAGAGTCACTTTTCAAGTGTCCTCCATCATGTGGCTCCTCACCTGAATACAATGGAATCTCCTGCATGCCAATATCTGGACCAAGATTTTGATCACCAGAAAGTAAATTCATTCCTTTCACAACATGTGATGACAAAACACTAGACTCCACTATTATTGAAGACTCTAAAGTCATCTCAGTTGCTACTACTTGAGTGTGCTCTGAGACTGTGACAGCAGGTTCTGAATATGTCACAGTGGGTTCCTGGACAGAAACACATGGTTCTGGAATAATCACAGCAGGCTGAAGGACTGATACTGCTGGTTCTAAGATAGGCACAGAAGGCTCCATGGAAGAAACTCCTGACACAGCGATGGTAACATGCCCTGAGTCAGGCATAGCTGGAAGCTCTGGGATAGCCACAGCAGGTTCTGGAACAGACATGGTGGAAAGTTCTGGAGCAGACACAGCAAGATGCTCTGGGGCAACCACAGCAAGAGGCTCGGAGACAGCCACAGCAGAAGGTTCTGGGATGGCCACAGTGGGAGGTTCTAGAACAGCAACAGGAGGCTCTGGGACAGCCACCGAGGAAGGCTCCGAGACAGTCACAGCTGGCAGCTCTAGACTGCTCTCTGCTAGCTGTGGAACAGTTACTGCTGACTCTAGCAGGGACATGGATACCTCTGAGATATGTCCAGACGATCTCATGGAATCATATGTTTCTGGTGTCTCTGACATAATAGAAGGCTCTGATGTTAGCACAGTTGGTTCAGCCGACATGGCAGTTTCACATACTATGTAAGTCACTGGTGTCTCTGGAACAATTTCATGTTCTGCTACTAGAGCAGACTCCACAGGTGTTGATGTAACTGAAGACTCTGGCTCTCGTGGAGTTTCTGGAACAGTCATAACAGCCTCCGATGCTAACATTGAGGTCTCTGATTCTGACACTGAATAATTAACAGGCACTGCTGAAGGCTCTGAAATCTCACTTTGACTCAGAGGCGGCTCAGGTTGTGACACAGATTCTTCATTAGGTAATGTCACCTCTGTAGCCCAAGTATTATCAGCTGTTAATGCTGACTGTTCAGTGGGTAATGCCGAACCCTCTGGTGGTTCCTCAGGGGGTAATGGTGGTGTCATTGGTGGTTCCTCAGGTGGCAATGGTGGCATTGTTGGGGGCTCTTCAGGAGGCAAAGGTGGCACCATATATGCCTCCGTATATGAATCAGCATAAGAATCAGTGTAAGAATCAGCTGCCATAGACATCATTGAACGATCAGTGTAAGATGACATCATAGATCGATCAGCTGCAGAGTACGATGACATCATAGACCGGTCAGCTGCAGAGTATGATGACATCATAGACCGGTCGGCACCCATGGACATCATAGATCGATCAGCCATAGGGGACATCATGGAGCGCTCATAAGCTGACATCATAGAGCGTTCATAAGCTGACATCATCGAGCGTTCAGCCATAGGAGACATCATCGAGCGTTCATAGGCTGACATCATAGAGCGTTCATAAGCTGACATCATAGAGCGTTCAGCCATAGGGGACATCATAGAACGCTCGTAAGACATCATAGAACGTTCATAAGATGACATCATGGAACGTTCTGCAGCATAGGACATCATCATAGACCGTCTAGATGCCAACATCAGGGGTCTAGGTGCTAACCTATATGGCCTAGGTGCTATTCTATAGGATCTGGGTGCTATTCTGTAGGGTCTAGGTGACATCCTATAGGGATCAGGAGTTAGTCTGTAGGGATCATGGCCTAATCTATAAGGGTCCTGTCCTAACCTATAAGCATCATGACCTAACCTATAGGGGTCATGACCCAACCTATAGGGATCCTGAGCCAATCTGTAAGGATCCTGAGCTAACCTATAGGGATCAGGAGATTTTGAATCCATCATAGCTGAATCTTGGGTACTAGATGCTAACATTTGGGCATCCATGGTACCAGAAGCTAACATTTGGGCATCCATGGTGCCAGAAGCTAACATCTGAGAATCCATAGCACCAGATGCTAACATCTGAGAATCCATAGAACTAGTTGCTAACATCTGGGAGTCCATAGTGCTGGTTGCTAACATCTGTGAATCCATGGTGCTGGTTGCTAACATCTGGGAATCCATGGAACTGGTTGCTAACATCTGAGAGTCCATGGAACTAGTTGCTAACATCTGAGAGTCGATGGAACTGGTTGCTAACATCTGGGAATCCATGGAACTGGTTGCTAACATCTGGGAGTCCATTGTGCTAGTTGCTAACATCTGGGAGTCCATGGTACTAGAAGCTAACATCTGGGAGTCCATGGTACTAGAGGCTAACATCTGAGAGTCCATGGTGCTAGAAGCTAACATCTGGGAGTCCATGCTATTGGATGCTAGCATCTGAGAATCCATAGTGTTAGATGCTAGCATTTGGGAGTCCATGGTGTTGGATGCTAACATATGGGTCTCCATGGTGTTAGAAGCTAACATATGGGATTCTTGGGCCATCAAGGGATCCACTCCTACTGTAACAGAAGTCTCCCCCACTAATGTAGTAGGCAGCTCCTGTGCTACCGTATTATAGGATTCCAGCGCTGTCGTCGAGGGCACCTCCAGGGACTGCGACACGGTCATCGTTGACAGCTCCGATGTTGTCACCACAGACTGAACAGAGATCTCCAGCGCCACAGTTGCCACAGGCTGCCCAGGCAACTCTGGCGCCCCAGGCTGCCCTGGCAACTCTAGCACCCCTGTTGCCAGGGGTTGCCCCAAAAGCTCCAGTGCTCCAGCTGCCCCAGACTGCCCCGAGAACTCCAGTGCCCCAGTTGCCATGAGCTGCCCAGGCAACTCTAGTGCCCCAGCTGCCACAGACTGCCCCGACAACTCCAGTGCCCTAGTTGCCGAAGGCAGCCCTGACAACTCTGGCACCCCAGTCACCGAAGGCTGCCCAGACAACTCCAGCGCTGTGGTTGCCACCGGCTGTCCTGGCAACTCCAGCACCATCGCTGCCTCTGGCTGCCCCAGCAACCCTGTTGCCGTTGTCACCTCAGGATGCCCAGGATGTTCCACCGTTGTCATCGCCACAGGCTGCTCGAACTCTGTCGTCGTCACAGGTTGTTCGGTCAACTCCATTGCTACTGTTACCGCAGGTTGCCCTGGCAACTCTACTGTTGCTGACACCGCAGGCACCCCTGGCAACTCCTGTGCCATCACAGGCGGCTCTGGTACCTCCTGTGGTGACTCCAACCCCATTGATGGTGCTGGAGGCCCCGGCAATTCCTGCAACAACTGTGACACTGGTGTCACAGAGGGCCCCGGCAACTCAGGCACCGCTGTCGCAGGGGGCCCTGGCAACTCAGGCACTGGGGTAGAAAGGGGCCCTGACAACTCTGGCACCGGGGTGGCAGAGGGCCCAGGCAACTCCAGCACTGGAGTCACAGGGGGCCCCTGCAACTCCAGCATGGAGGTCGCAGGTGGCCCCGGCAACTCCAGGGCTGAGGCCACCAACGACTCCTGCAGCTCCACCGCTGTGGTCTTAGGCAGCTCCAGTGACTCCTGAGGTCTTGTCATGGATGAATCTGCAATCTCCGATGGTGCTTCTACAGGCTGCTCTGGCAATCTTAGCCCGTCAGTTGCAGATGACTCTGGAAAATCCATTGTTGATGTGCTTGTTTCAGGGCGCACCTCAGTGGGTGTCTCTGATGTTAACACAAGGGTTTCTGGTGGCTCAAGCACTTTTGCTATGGGAGGCTCTACCAGCATGATCTTTGATGGCTCTGAAGAAGTAGTCTCCAAAGATTTCAGCACAGACTTCTGATACTCCACTGACATTGTTACAACTGGCTCTGGTGACTTCATTACTGCTGTTAACACAGGCACTGGTGCTCCTGCAAAGGAATCCAGACCCTTTGTCATGGATGGTTCTAACGTTACAGACACAGGCTGCTCGGACTGCTCTGAGATTACTGATCCAACAGACAGTTCTGCAGTTTTTGTAGCTGGCTTCAGAGTTTCTAAAACGTGTGGCTCTGAAACCTCCATTGACATTACCGGAGGTTCCAGCACAACTCCAGGGGATTCACTAGTCTCTGATACGCCAAATGCTCTCACAGGATGTTCCAGTGCCATCGCTGAAGGTTCAGAATCGAACTTTAAAAAGGAATCAGATCCAAGATCAACATTCCCATCATGATGAGATTTCAGCTTTGACTCAGATTCTTCCGGCTGTCTTTTATATTTTTTCTCTTTTTCTTTCTTCTTTTTCTTCTTTTTGTTTTTGTGCTTTTTATGCTTCTTTGACTTTTTGGTGGGAATTTCATCAGTAGGATCTGTTTGAACAGATACACATCTACTTTTTCTGGAGGCCTCTTTCAAATCTGAAAGTAACAAAAATTTTGTCAGACATTCCTTGAGGTGGATTCAGACAAATGATACAAACCACTTTTTACATTCTACATTTTAAAATCAACACTATACTATCTTGCTATATATAAAAACATAAAATAATCGACTACCTATAAGCCACTTTTCCAGTCTTTCTACAACTGAACCTAGGGTGAAAAATAAAGTCTTAGTCTAACAGAAAAACATATTTTGAATTACATTAAGATATAGTTTAAGGTGTGATACAGTTAAGTGGTAAAGTGCTTGCCTATCATGTACTAAGCCCTGAGTTCTATCACTGGCCCTGAAAAAAAATAAAAAGAGGGGCTATAGAGATGGCTCAGCTAGGTTAAGAGTACTTGCTACTCTTGCAGAGGACCCAGGTTCAGTTCCTAGTACCCCCAAGGTGGCTAACAACTGCCTGTAACTCCAGTTCCAGGGATCTGATGCCCCCTTCTGGCCTCCATGGCATTACAGGCACACACTACACTTCATACATGCAAGCAAAAGACTCATACACATAAAAATAATTTTTCTTAAATGAAGAAAAAAAGCATTTCTACTAAATTCTATTAAAAATTTTCATTTCATGGGGCTAGTGAGATGGCTCAGTAAGTATAGACGATACAGCCAATCCTGACCACCTCAGTTCAATCTCCAGGACCCACGTGGTAGAAGAGAACTGACTTCCCCATATTGTCTCTAACTTCCACATGTTCAGATGACCATAAGTGTACTGCACACCCACCCATAACTGCATGTACAGGCACACTCAAGGAATTGAAAAATAGTGCTCTCTAAAAATATTCTTTTTGCCGAGCATGTTGGTACACACCTTTAATCCCAGCACTTGGGAGGCAGAGGCAGGAGGATTTCTGTGAGTTCAAGGCCAGTCTGGTCTACTCAGTGAGTTCCAGGCCAGCTGAGACTATAAGGAGACCCTGTCTAAAAAAAAAAAAAATTATTTTCTGGGACTGGAGAGATGGCTCAGAGGTTAAGAGCACTGACTGCCCTTGCTGAGGACCCAGATTTTGATTCCCAGTACCCACATGGTGACTAACAACCACCCATTAACTCCAATTCTAGGAGATGATGCCTTCTTCCTACCTCCACAGGCACTGCACAACAGGTGCACTTACAAACATGCAGGCAATAAAATCATACACATAAAATAAAAATAATAACACACTGTGAGTTCCAAGCCAGCTGGTACTACAGGGAAACCCTATCTCAAAAAGACAAATAATAATAATAATAATAATAATAATAATAAAAATTGTCTTTTCTTTTCATTCCAGCACTTGGGAAGAAGAGGCAGACAGATGTCTTAGTTCCAAGCCAGCCTAGTCTACGTAGCAAGTTCCAAGCCAGAGTTACATGTTGAGATTCTGTCTCAAAAATAAACAAAAAACAGAAACAAAACAAAATTATTCTTGAGTTCTCAAATTAGAGCAATTTTTTAATGGTCTTTTTGAGACAGGTCTCCCTATAGCCCCAGCTGCCCTGAACTCACTATGTAGACCATGCTGGCCTTGAATTCAGAGATCTACCTGCCTCTGCCTCCCAAGTGCTGGGATTAAAGGGGTGCACTACACCTGGCTAGCAAATTATTTTTAAACTGCACCAGTGAATTTATCTAATATTTAGTTGTTAAAATTCCTATTAAAAATACACTGCATACCCAATAAAAGATTAGAGTCCAAGACAGCATAAAGATAATCAACAAACAAGTTACAAAAGAGAGTGCTCACATTAAATAACTTATTTGCTGAACATGATGGCACATGGCTTTAACCCAGCACTTGAGGCAGAGGTAGGCAGATTTGTGCAAGATCAAGTCCAGCCTGGTCTAAAAAGCAAGTTCCAGGTCAGCTGGGGCTACAGGGAGACCCTGTTTTGAAAAAAGGAAAACCCCCTCCCGCAAAAACCCAAAGCTTGCAAATATTATTTTATAATTAGCCCCTGCTTAAACTGGAGGCAATATGGTACTCATTCTGGAACAAATGTTTCTATAAACCTAAATCAATTCATCACTTGGTAGATGAAGGATGTTGTAACTTCTAGAGTTAGAGGACAAGTAAGTTAAAACATGCAAAGAGGAGATGGGGTAACTCAATGGTGGATCACAAAGCACAACAACACCTATTACATAGCCCTCAGCAACGCTTCTGTATAGTATATAAACAGTTGAACAATATACTGCATCAACAGAGCACAAACCTTATCCTACTACATCTGTTCTGATAAAAACTTACCTTAAACATACTTTAACTATTAAGACATGGAGAGCAAATACTGCTCTTAACATGTTATTTAAGAACATTTCAATTTGCATAGTTTAAAGACAGTTTACAATTCTCCTTTACAATCCTATAGGATTGTAATGCCAATATTAAACTAAGTTTTAAGGATCCCTGTGAGCTCAAGACCAGCATGGTCTACAGAGTGAAATTCCAGGCCAGGTGGGACTACATGCAGGAAGACCCTGTCCATCCGTCCATCCGTACCCCCCCCAAAAGACAACTATTTTCTATTGCTTATTTCACAGCATCAAATATTTGTTTATTCCTAAACCAACAAAAGATTGCTATAGGCACAAATCTACGCAACACTAAAAGGATGTTTTTCAGCCACCAAGAGGGATCCATACCACATACCTAACTAAAGAAAGATAATGACTGTTAATTTTTTGTGCTTAATTATAAATTCTTCATTTTTAAGAAGCCATTATTTAAGCTTAGTGTAGTGGAGCACACCTTTAGTCCCAGCACTTGGAAGGGAGCGGCAGGTGGATCTCTGTGAGTTCCAGGCCAGCCTAGTCTACATAGCGAGTTCCAGGCCAGCTGGGGCCACAGGGAGACTTTTAAAAAAAAGAAAGAGCAAAAAAAAAAAATTATCCATTATTTAATCAATTCCGAAAAAGAAAATACCCACACAATGACTGCTCTTCAGCCCACTTTGTACAAAGAATATAATCTCTAAGCATGGGCTTTAAAACAAAACCTAAGGTATGTCCTAATAATCATTATAGATTTAGTTCAAGATATTGCACCTTCCAAGACTGACAATTACAGAACTATTCAAACAAAAACCACATACAAAAATCCTGGCATTGAGAAACTACAAAACTATATTAGAGACAAAAACCTATTTTACCAGCAAATCAAGTAAGTGAAGAATTATTGGTTCATTTTTGAATTTAACTGTTTTCAATGGAAGGTTTCAGAGAGACATTTTGAGGTAAATTAAAGGTAGTATTAACATTCAAATAAAAAATAGATTTTTTTTTTGAAACAGGTAGTTATTTTCAACTTACCTGACTTATATCGTAGTTCTGTATCTAAGACCCCAGAAAGTACTTCCTCTATCTTCTGCACTATTTCTTCATTTGGTAGACTCCTTGCAGAGGCAGCTGCATCACCTGCCTGGTTTCCTTCAATAGTTGTATTTGTTTCACCATTCAGCTGGCCTTCACTCCTTCCACTTGACAAGAAAAAATGTCAAACTTCATTAACATTTAAATCTCAATATATGATAATTCAACATTAGTAACTCAATATAATTTCACATTATTGCCCATTTCACCCTTTTCATATTTCAGATGTTTGCTACCAACAGTCCATCCTTAACACTATATATTCATAGTTAAAACATCTTTTTTTTTTTTCTTGGTCTTTTTGAGACAGGGTCTCCCTGTAGCCCCAGCTGTCCTGGAACTCACTATGTAGACCAGGCTGGCCTTGAACTCACAGAGATCACCTGCCTCTGCCTCCCAAGTGCTGGGATTAAAAGCGTGTGCCACCACGCCCGGCCCATCATTTTCATTTTTACAATTTTCACAACTGTGAAAGAGAACGCCCTTAAAACCAGTTTTCAAAGCACAGTATCTTTAAAATAAATTTTAAAAACCTAAAGCTCTCAGTTACCTAAGTATTTTTCCCAAGGGAGGAAAATTAACGCATCCAATCACAAAGAAAAATAGACAACCTAGGATTTTAAAAACTATGGTCACAATAAAGTCACACCTGTACAGAGATCACAATTACAATTAATAGTAGGACCACAAAAGTTATCCAGACATAGTAAATAAAAGGGTAACTCATAGTCTCTGTTCAGGTTCAGATTGTGATTCAAAGGCCATAAAATTTTAAATACTTTATTTTTATTTTTTATGTATATGAGATAAGACTGCATGCAAGTGCACCATGTGTCCTACAATACCCACAGAGGTCAGAAGATGACGCTGGATCGCTAGAACTGGAGTTATGGACAGTTGTAAGCTACCATGTGAATAATGGCATAAAATTGGCAAAGAAAAACAAACCTACATAATTTACAGTTATTAAAACTTCTGCTGCATTAAACAATTTCTGGAGTCCTCTGTATTAAGGAATTTCTGGAGTCCAACTTCGCATAAAACAAGTGTCAATTCATTTATGCTAATAGCAAAATGGTAGGTATCTTAACCTATTTTCAGTTCACAGGCCAAGAACATTATAGCTAAAGCTAAAGCACATAATTATTTTTACTATTTTTGGGTAAACTTGGAATTTTTTTTGGTCTTTTTGAGACTGGTCTCCCTGTTCTGGAACTTACAGCTCAGAGATCCACCTGCCTCTGCCTCCCAAGTGCTGGGATAAAAGGCATGCAACACCCAGCCTCAAACTTGGAAAAATTTTAAAACTCCAGCAATCTCAATAAAACATTCAGTAAAAACTGAAGACACGTAAAACATTTACTTGCTAATAATCTTATCAGAGAAACAATACATTTCAGTGAGGAATGAATGATTTTCTATTACAATGAAACTCATTACACTAATAATTAACATGAGTACTGACTAGAGTCACATTTTTTATTTTTTAACTTAGGAATCCTAGTAAAACTCTTAAGATCACAATTATTATTGTTTCTTTAAGTGAAAGTAAAGAAACTTAGTGAAAGGTCATACAGCTATGTAGGGGGCCTGGGATGGTGGCATATGCCTTTAATCCGAGCACTAGAGGCAGAAGCAGACAGATCTGAGTTCCAGCCTGGTCTAGACTGTGACTTCCTCGATCCGGTCTCAATAAAATACAAAATTTTTTAAATTTAAAAAAAAAGCAAAGAAGCTGGTACTCAAAATCCAGAAACCATACTGAGTGTGTGTGTGTTAAGAGAGAGAGAGAGGGTCTCCCCTAGCCCCAGCTGCCCTAGAACTTGACCAGGCTGGCCTCTAACCTCCCTTTGCTTCTGCCTCCCCAGTGTTGGGATTAAAGGTGTGCACCACCACGCTCAGCAATCATATTCCTTTTGGAAAAAATATTTTATTATTTTTATTTTAATATGCATGAGTGTTTTGACTGCATGTATGTAAACACACCATGTGCATGCAATGCCCCCAGAGGCCAAAAGAGGGTGTTAGATCCTCTGGAACTGAAGTTTCAGACAGTTGTTAGCTGCCACATGGGTACAGGGAATTGAACCCAGGTCCTCTGGAAGCACTCCTAACTGCTGAGCCATCTCTCCAGTCCCAGAAAGCATATTCCTAAGTACATCTATGTAGAGGTACAACAGATTACACTGTAATGTCAGCCTCATGCCTATACCAATGACTATAAAAGCAGATGGGGAAAAAGAATAGCTCACTGAAATGGCAGATAATTAAAAAAAAATATTTTTAGACTGATCATGCCTTTATACATGTTAAAAGGTGGACATTCCCCTAGCAACAATATGGTGCTTTATCTAATATTCTTTTTGGACTTTGTGGAGCAGTTATTTTACACTTTTTCTAAGCACGTATACATTCCTACCATGGATTTTTAATCATAAAATTGTAATCTTTTAACTATTGTCTATAAAGAAATAATATCATCTCAAAGCTACCAAATATTACAATTGCTAAAAAGCAATTAGAATTTCAAACCACTTTTCTATCCAATATATTACAAAAAAATAATAATTTTATGTGGATCTGAAGAATGTCTAAAATACTGAGACTGTAAGAACAAAACTGTTCACAATAGTTCTAAAAAGCTATCAATACAAAATGCTCACACTGCCAGGTGTGGTGGGGCATGCCTTTAATCCCAGCACTCAGAGGCAGACAGGAGGATCTCTGTGAGTTCCAGGCCAGCCTGGACTCCACAGCAAATCTACGCCAGCTGGGGCTACAGGGAGATCCTGTCTCAAAAAGACCAAAAAAAAAAAAAAAAAAACCAAAAAAAAAAAAAAAAAAAAAAAAGACATGTCTCTATTCTGGGTGGAGATGAAAGACACAACGTCAGTAATTGGTGGGTTTTGTATTCTTATTTATGGTTTATACATTTTCTATAGTAACCAAAACCCCACTCAAGTTGTAATAGGCTAACCCTTAAAAGTTGTAACAACAAAGTTTACTAAACTAAGCAAATACAATTAGTACATACACCTATCTAAAAGTTTTCAGAAAAATCCTATTTCCTTAGCTTATGTCTCTTCTCATCAAAAAAAAACAACAAAAAACTAGAAAGTCACAAAATGTTAAAAAGCAAAAGTGAGGGTATATACTCCCACTTACAAAACAAAATATCCAGCAAAGGCTGCAGGAGAGAGTTGCTCAAGCTATGATGCCAGCACCTGGGAGGCAGCAGAAGGAACAGGAGTTCAAGGCCAGCTTCAGCTACATGGCAAGGCTTTAAGCCCTGCGTTAAACCCTGTCTGAAAAACAAACCCCAACATAGCTTGCAAAAATTAAAATTGCAGCAATAAGACATCATTGCACTAATAACCATGAGTAAATCTGGGCACATAAATTACAAGTGCTTATCAGCTGATTTTCACATTCACATACTGCTCTTGCGTTCAACTTACACGATTAGGAAAAACATTTTGACTTAACAGTTTACTTTCCTAGCTCTGTACTTTAAAGAAATTATCATTTTGTACAATACAAACTACTAAAAGAAAAACCACTGAACATGATTCGCACTATTTTCCTGAGTAAACAACTTTGGAAATCTCTTAAACTTCAAATTCTGGGAACCAAGGATAAACTATGAAAAGTCTACCATCAGTGACAAGAAGCAGCGCGTTGTTCTTCCAATAGGTCAACTAAGGCAGGACACTAAGAAAAATAACAGATCTACACACACAGTCCTGTTTCGACTTAATAAAATTCAGTAATCAATAGTTTCAAAGCCCCCTTCTATCTTCCCGTCGAAGACTTCATCGAGTGTTTAGTATTAATCGGAAGTGTTTTAATTTAATTCCGAGTGCTGCCTGCTATAAACCACACAGCACTCACTAGGGCCCGAAGAGTCTCGTTAACAGACGTCGACCGCCCAACGATCTGGAGCTTACAATAATAAAGAGGATTTAAGATTACTCAAGAAACGGCCGTTAGAGACCCTTTCCGGCCGTAGATACCGGCCGGTGACATCGGCAGAGGCGGGGAGGGGGAGGGGAGAGGCGGCGGCGGAGGAGGAGCTGGGGCAGGAACTAGGCCGGGCACCGGTGGGCATCCGGGCCTCCAGGTAGCTCCAGGGGAGGGGGCGACCAAAGCAGAGAACAGTGAACACCCCACTTGAGCACACGAAGGGCGTGTGGGAACCCCGTGGAAGGGGCCAACTTTCTTCGGAGAGAGCGAATGGAGGGTGGGGGGGGAGGGCCCGGAAAATGGATCCCGGGCCCAGGCGGGGCCGTAGCGGGGCCTGAGCCGAGGAACGACGGCGTCTCTGAGAAAGACGCCATGGACCCTAACCGGGGCCCTAACAACCCGCGAGAGGGAGAAAAGCCCGGGGTGCGTTTACCTCGAAAGCTCCTGTTGGATTTCCCGGAATTTACTGACCACGAAAGACCTAAAAACCTGCTCGATGTCGGCCGCCATGGCGCCCGCTCCGTTCTCTCAACTCCTCCTCGCCAGTCCTCCAGGCTCCCAGCATGCCTCGGGAGGACGCGCAGCGGCCAATTCCTTTCCTCTCTCCTCTCATTGGCTGCTGGGCGAGCGTCCGGCTCGGCACGCTCCACCGATGAGCCAATCAGCGAGCAGGGCTGCGCTCTCCTCCGCTGTTTCTGAGCCGCCGGGGTAGAGCTGCTGACGTTTGCGCCGCGCACGGCTACGGCCGCCATGTTAGTGTCTGACGCAGGCGCCATTACACGAGAAGTCGCTCTCGAGGCGTCTTCTGCGCGCTTTCCCGTGCAGACCCTGGGGGCTCCGAGAGGCTTTCTATGGCCACCAGACGCCCCAGCTGAGAGGCCATGATGAGAGGGAGTGGAAAGGGTGTCGGGGCGTTAGACATGGCTGCTGGCGCCTAGTTTGGTCAGAGACGTGCACGGGCAAATGCGTCAGCCCTGTCTCCCGCGCAGTGACTAGAGAAGAACGTCTTGATCCTCTCCTTGCCTCAGTCCCCACCCCATAAGTCCCATTTTATTTATTTTTTTAATCATAAGCTGTCAGAACAAGCAGGTACCCTCGGGGTACCCGCCCAGGGCTAGAGCAGCGCACGGGTCTGTGCAGGAGGCGCTGGGGCCGACATAGAGCCCCTACGTGGCTGCCCAGACAAACGTTCGCTCTGTACACGGGCCCCAAAGATCAAGAGCCCGGCTGGGTTGCAAGCTCACGCCACACCCTCGCGAGGTAGGAATGCCCCACCCCCGCCGGCCACTCGCGGGCGGGGACGCAGTCCAGACGGCCAATGGGGAGCCAAGCCCCCTCACCGGGCGTGGGGCGGGGCCAGCGCGGGCCGGATTCCCCGGGCCTGGCTTCCGGCGTGCGCTGGGGAAAGCGGGAGCGGCGTGGAGGAGCTGGCAGGTGCGTGACTCCCTCGGCTTCCAAGCTGCCTGCGTAAGTTTAACGTCAGGGACTGCGTGCACTCGTAGAAACTGGTTTAGGTGGAGAAGGAGCCGTATACTTTTCTGCGAGGTTGGCCCTTGGGCTGTCGACCACTTTACCTGCTTGCAAGTTCTAAGAGAGCGTCCGGGTTTCTGTGCGCCTTTAGGCCGGAACCCCTAAATCTATGCACTTTTGTCACTTAGCACTTAATCATTCTCACTAGCGGTTTACTTGGACCATTTTTGCATTTCGTCTCTGTTTTATTCATCAAATCTTTTGAAATAGTTTTACCTGGCTCTCTCTAGCTTTTGTTTTTGTCTTTTTGAGGCAGGGTCTCCCTGTAGCCCCAGCTGTCCTGGAACTCACTAATGTAGACCAGGCTGGCCTTGAACTCCCAGAGATCTGCCTGCCTCTGCCTCCCCAGTGCTGGGACCAAAGGCATGCGCCACCACGCCCTGCTAAATGGCATTTTTTATTTGGTTGGTTTTTGTTTATTTGTTAAGCTCCCCGTAGGGACTGGCCTAGGGCTTACTATGTAAACCAGTCTGGCCTCTGCCTCCCAAGTGCTGGGATTAAAGGTATAGGTCACCACCATGCCCAACGTAAATGGTTGTTAATTATGAGACTGTCGAAAGATTTTTGTCTTCAAAATTGTAATACTAGTCATTTCAGTTGTCCACTTCTACTTAAGTATCTGAGGCACAATGGCTTCAGATGGAATCTAGGCTCCACACTCTTAGTTCTGTGTCTTCTGGCAAGTTATGTGACCTAATTGAGCCTTCATGCCTTATCCTTAAGTGACAGCAAGAGCATTATGACAGGCAGATCTCTATGAGATCGAGGCCAGTCTGGTCTGCATAATGAGTTCCAAGCCAGCTAGGGCTATACCCTGTCTCAAAAACCAAACAATCTTGGGGTTTTTTTTTTTTTTAAAACTTATCTAGGTAGATTTTTCTTACATTTTTATTAAACATGTAATCCTGTCAACTCCTTGAAAGTTAATGGATTTCAGTTTTTGAACATAAGACTTCACACTTGCCAAGCCATCAGCTCTATTGCCTAACTGCACTATACCCCTAGTCTTTGTTCCTATTACACAGTGACTTGATAACTTGTTTCTGTACTAAAGTATCAATTTAGGTCAAAATAGTAATGCAATATAACTATTAGCATTTACTAAGTGCTATATAGTGTCATTTTTTTAATGTCATTTCCGTTAATCCTTATACAGCAAGGTTAAATGCCAGTACTAGGGTGAGATATGTTGTATGTTAGAATGTGATTTTTGTCAACTCTAATAGAGTTCCAATCCATTGTATCCCACAAACTGCTTGTATCTTGGGCCTTTGAGCTGTGGACCACATGCAAATGTTTCTGTCACCTGTTTTGTACATTCTGCTAAACAAAAATAGTAGAGGAAGCCACACATGCTTGAGACATAGAGGCAGGATGATGGATTGCTGCCAGGTTAAGACCACCACAGCCAGGGCGCCATCTTAAAAAAAAAAAAAAATAGGGGAAAAAAATACTTTTAGGGCATGAAATTCAAGTTGCAGTGTTCATATATGCAGTTTTATAGAAAGAGTCATGCCTATTTTGATGTAAACTTTTGGTTGGCTTCCTATCATTTACAAAACTGATTATGCAGATAACCTCTGCCCAAGTGTTCTATCTAAATTAAGTTTTCCTGTCTCTTACACTTTCACTCAGTAGTAGTACAGTATCCTTTTATGCTATCATATAAAGTTCTACTTGGTAATTTGAGCAGAGCACACATAGCCCATATTAACTTGTATGTTTTAATTATCCATTCTCTATATGACATCAAGGTTTAAAGATGGATATTTTAAATTTGGATGCAAATTTAAAATATCACCACAGCATACATTTTCCTGCTAAGGCTTGATGATTATTATGTCTTCCAGATAAGAAACAAGGTTGTTGGTATATTATTTCTCAGATAAGGAGCTATATTAATCTATTTTTTATAATATTACATGGGACTGGAGAGATGGCTTAAGAACAATGGCTGCTCTTGCCAAGGACCAGGGTTCGATTCTCGGCAGCAGTCATCTGTAAGTCCAGTTCCAGGGGATCTGACCTCCACGGGCATTGCATGACACAGGTACACTTAATACATTCATACACATAAAAATAATAATACAGACTAAGTTATATATATTTTAAGGAAGTTTGTTTTGACTTACAGTACTGGAGGTGTGCAGTCAAGGGGGCCCCAATTTTATGATCAGCTTCTTGCTAGCAGCCTCTAACTTGCATGGAGCAGCCTGTGGCAAAAGAAACCTGGCTTGCATGCTTGTTTCTCTCTCTCTCTCTCTCTCTCTCTCTCTCTGGACTTGAGCTGAGTGTTGTGGTACTCGCCTTTAATCCCAGCACTAGAGAGGCAAAGGCAGGCAGACCCCTGAGAGCTTGAGGCCTACTTAGTCCATTTTTGAGTTCCATCCAGGCCAGCTAAATTACATAGTAAGACCCTGTGTCAAAAACAGTTGGGTGTGGTGGCATAAGGCTTTAATCCCAGCATCCTAGAGTCAGAGACAGGCCTGGGATACTTCTAATAAAGCAAGTTCACCCTAGTGACCTTATCTAAACCTAATCATTTCCCAGGGGTTCCACCTCTGTGCCGTAGTTAGATTAAGTTTCCTCTCTTAGTGTCTCATAATATGGATTAAATTTCAGCACATGAAACCTTGGAGGATACTCAAACCATAGCAGGAGCTAAATCACCATTCACTCTTGGTTGGTTTGGAACTCTACACAGACCAGGCTGGCCTCAGATGCTCCTGACTCTACCTACTGAGTGCTAGGACCAAAGGCATGCACTACCACACCCAGCTCACCATTCCCTCTTTAACCTCTCCTCTATCTGCCTTTTTTCCCCCCCACAAAACAGCCCCCTTTACCCTTATAGCTACAGTCATATTTTTCTAATTATAAATCCAGTGGGGGTGGGGTCTTTTTGAGAGAGGGTCTCCCTGTAACTCTAGCTGGCCTGGAACTCACCATGTAGACCAGGCTGGCCTAGAACTCACAGAGATCCACCTGCCTCTGCCTCCGGAGTGCTGAGATTAAGTCATGTGCCACCACGCCTGGCCTAAATCCCACTGTTTAAAATAATGTGGGCATGGTAGTACAGGCCTTTAATCCTCAGGAGGCAGAGGCAGGCAGATATCTGTGAGATTGAGGCATGCCTGGTCTACATAGTGTGTTCCAAGCCTGCTGGGGCTGCAGGGAGACCCTGTCTTAAAAAGACAAAAATAATAATGATGATGATAATAATGAATTGCTGGGTGGTCATAGTATTTGTAGTAGCACAAATAGTTACTTTAAAATCATATTTAGAAGTTGTGATTTGTACAGCCATACTCATCTATAATCCCAGCACTTGGAAGGTGGGTTAGACCAGAGAATTGCTATGAGTTTGAGGCGAGCCTGAGCTACATAGTGAGACTTTTCTCTAAAACACCAAAAGGGGACTAGAGGATGACTCAGCAGTTAAGAACACTGACTGCTCTTGCCAAAGACCAGGATTTGATTCCCAGCACCCACATGGCAACTAGCAACTGTCCATAACTCCAGTTCCAGAAACTCTGAAGCCCTCTTCTGACCTCCCACAGGCACTGCACACATGTAGTGTACATGCATGCAAGCAAAACACTCATGCACATAAAAGTAAAATTTTTTTTTTGTGTGTGTGTGTGTCTTTTTGAGACAGGGTCTCCCTGTAGTCCCAGCTGACCGGAACTCACTATGTAGACTAGGCTGGCCTTGAACTCACAAAGATCCGCCTGCCTCTGCCTCCCAAGTGCTGGGATTAAAGGTGTGCGCCA